TGGTTAGGGTGTAATTGTTCATCCCTTCTACCCTTTCCTCCTCCTCAGCTGCATGCCAAGGTCACTGACCCAATCATCCACCTCACTTGTTCCGGAAGAGTCTTTTCTGCCCCCTGTGGCTTCAAGAGCACCAGCCAATCAGAAGAGCAGAGCAGAAGGCCAAACCTCAGGCCCAAACTAACTGCCAAGCGCCAAAAGCAGTTAGAAGTGGTCTCAGCAAAAATGCCCAAGTGGCTGACGCTGTCTATGTTTTTATCAGCTAAGCCAGGGGCTCCCTACTGAATCCTCAGCATTTACAGGAGGTACGCTTCTCAGAAGCTATGTGAAGATCCCAATTTCGCCACTGTTGTAGACATGGCATATATACAGATATGAAGCAGTAATTACAAGTATTCATTAAGTTGAAGATTGAATTAATATTGAATAGTAGAATATTGAACTGTTTATTGGTGTACATGTATTTTGAATCTTGGCAAAGGAGCTCCTTTTTTTTTCCAATAAAATTGAAATACAACAATTTGTATCTCTACTTTTGGCCCAGTAGGCTTGAATAGAATTCTAAGCTTAAATCACAAAATAAAATGCACTGGCACATTTGTCTGCCCTGCGTTGGACTGGCGACCTGTCCAGGGTGTATCCTGCCTTCCGCCCGATGACAGCTGGGAGAAGCGCCTTAGAAGATGTGTGTGTGTGTGTGTGTGGCACATTTGAGCTCAGGCACGGATTTAAACAATGTTACTGCCATTTAATGTAAGACACAACAAATAGATATTCTTTTTGTATAATGAAAGTGTTTACTCATTATGGTAGTCATATGGATAGGTAAGTAATTAATTCACATAATGCAAATACATATGACATTTATACTTTAAATGTAGGGAAATAATTGGCCACATGTAAGATTTTTACATGGGTTTGAATGAACTGGAGTTTGTTAAGGATTTTAGTTGGCAAAATATAAGTCAAGTATAAGTATAAGTCAAATAATGCACAACATTATAGAGATCAAATTAATGTGATTGGATAATAAACTTTATATAGGGTTCAAATATAAGTAAAGAATCAAATAGCTTCTAGAATTCTATAAACTCAAGTGGGTTTTACAAACACATCTATGTCAATAAAGTAATTAATGACTATTAGTTGTATTAGTTAATAAGTTGTGGGGAACATAGTGTAAAATATTAAAAATGGTAATATGATGCTAAAAATGTGTGTCATATTAAACATCCAGCAATGTTTAAATGATGTGGTCCCAATATTCCGATGAGAGCACAAGACTGAAATCTTCTTCAACTACACAAGATTAGTTCTGCCCTACTGAGCCCCTAAAAGGCCACTGCAGAAAAAAATATTTCCCACAACATTGTATCTCTTTGTAATATTTTTGCATTCCCTTACAAATGCTTTGTGATACCTTGCAAAGTTGTTGCAAAATGATTGTGAGGGAATGAAAGAAGTCTTGGTGGGATTCTGGATGGCCAGATATAGTTCCCAGCTCATATTGTGAACCTGACTCAGTCATGCAAATTTCTCCTGTACAACATCTGGAGGATTCGACCCTTTCTCACTCAAAAGACCACCCAGGTGCTAGTTCAGTCTCTTGTCATCTCAAGGCTTGACTACTGCAACTCGTTCTTGGCTGGTCTTCCTACGCAGGCCATCAAGCCCCTGCAGCTCATCCAGAATGCAGCAGCACGGCTCGACTTCAACCTTCCCAAGTTCAGTCATGTCACTCCACTGCTGCGCTCCCTTCACTGGCTTCCTGTAGCTGCACGCATCAGATTTAAAACCCTGATACTTGTCTAGAAAGCCAAAAACGGACCAGCGCCTCCCTACCTAATGGCAATGGTCAAAACTCAAACTGTACTTCGAGCCCTTCAAGCTTGAAGTACAGCTTGGCTTGACCCACTATCCTTCAAGATGCGTGGAAGACAAGCATCAAGACTTTTCTCTGTCCTGGCTCCCATGTGGTGGAACGAACTCCCACTGGCTGTCCGAACAGCAGGCTCTCTTGCGGTCTTCACATGCAGACTGAAGACATATGGCTTTTTACAGCACTTAAGTGAGCATTAAGTTAAGCGTGATTGTAATTTATTGTACTGCACTTATTGAAATGTATTGTATTGTGCTATGTTTAAGTGTTTTTTTTTCTCTGGGTATCAACATGGGCTTTTGTTTCTAGCATATCTGAGCTCAGGACTAGCTTTCTCTCTAACCTATTTGTAACTAGCAAAGACACTTTCTCTAGGTAGACAACAAAGTACTTTTTGTAAGTTGCTCTGGATAAGAGTGTCTTCTAAATGCTGTAAATGTAAATGTTCATGTACATTGTGTGACTACAACAGCGAGATTAACCTACTTAGAAAGAAAACACAGATTTAGGTTCCCTATGGCTTTAAATATGCACTATTATATACCAATAAATTACACAGCAATAAAACTACAAATCTCTTGTTTTTCGTTCTTTTTGCACTGGCAAATTTAAAATTATTTTTAAAATATGTAATAAAAATGACTTCTAGTTTGTATAGTTACTGTTGGTATGCTCCAACAGAACGGTAAAGAAAAAGCAGCAGTTTGGTCATCGTCTATTAAACTGATGTGCACAGTTGGGGTGCACATAGGTCCATTAAACAGTGACCACCACGACCAAAGACCTTACATATGAAGGCTCACATTTGAACTACAGAAATAACGCTCACTTCAATAATTTACAACAGATTTACAACCTCATTTCCAAAAAAGTTGGGACGCTGTGCAAAAAAGTAAATACAAACAAAATGCAATGATATGCAAATAATTTAAACCCCATATTTCATTGAAAATAGTACAAAGACAACATATCAAATGTTGAAAATGAAAAATTCTATTGTTTTTTGAAAAATATATGCCCATTTTGAATTTGATGCCAACAACATGTTCCAAAAATGTTGGGACAGGGGCATGTTTAACACAGTGTTTCATCACCTCTTCTTTTAATAACACTCTGCAAGTGTTAGGGAACTGAGGAGACCGACTGCTGTAGTTTTGAAAGTGAAATGTTTTCCCATTCTTGCTTAACATAGGATTTCAGCTGCTCAACAGTTTGGGGTCTCCTTTGTCATATTTTTCATTTCATAATGCGCCAAATGTTTTCAGCGGTGACAGGTCTGGCTTGCAGTCAGGTCAGTTTAGCACCCAGACTCTTTTAATACGGATGAACGCTGTTGTAATACATGCAGAATGTGGTTTGACATTGTTTTGCTGAAATAAGCAAGGCCTTCCCTGAAAAAGATGTTGTTTAAATGGCAGCATATGTTGTCAAAACCTGTATATATCTTCCAGCATTAATGGTGCCTTCACAGATGTGCACATCACCCATGCCATGTGCCCTAATGCTCCCCTATACCATCATGAATACTGGTTTTTGAACTGTGCACAGATTACAAGATGAGCTAACCCTTTATCTCAGAGGACAGTGTCCATGATTTCCAAAAAGAATTTCAAATGTTGATTTGTTGGACCACATTCCACTTTCCCTCAGTCCATTTTAAATGAGCTCTGACCCAGAGAAGGTGGCAGCATTTTTGGATCCTGTTTATATATGTTTTCTTTGTGTTTTATAGTTTTAACTTGCATTTGTGGATGCAGTGATGAACTGTTTTCACAGACAGTGGTTTTCATAAGTGTTCCTGAGCCCATGCAGTGATTTCCACTACAGAATTATGTCTGTTTTTAATGCAGTGCCGCCCGAGGGCCCAAAGATCATGGCCAGCAAATACTGGTTTCTGGCCTTGTCCCTTGATTTCTCCAGATTCTCTGAATATTTTAATGATGTTTTTTATACCCAATCATGTTACTGACCTGCTACCAATCAACCACCAGGTGTAGCATTACACAACTTTGCCTTTTGTTGCCCCTATCCCAACTTTTTTGGAATGTGTTGTTGGCTTCAAATTCAAAGTGGGCATCTATTTCTCAAAAAACAATAAAATTTCTTAGTTTTAACATTTGATATGTTGTCTTTGTACTATTTTCAATGAAATAAGGGGTTTAAATGATTTGCACATCATTGCATTTTGTTTTTATTTACATTTTGCACAGCGTCCCAACTTTTTTTGAAATGGGGTTGCACTTTATTTTACCCAAAATCAATCACAAACATCACTGCACATGAGAAATTAGGCAGCTTTGACAATTTCTAAATATACTGGTTACTCCCAAAATGAGGATAACTGGAAAAGATTGAATGAGATCTTATGCTTTCTTATAAAAGGCTTACACTGACTTTATTTGCTACTTTGGTTTCAGAGACGAATGACACTCCAGAACAGGACTGAAAAGACTTCCAGTCAACTGAAATCATAACACATTTTACTTCTGTACTGTGACTGTACGTGTTTCACTTGGAAATGAACTAAAAGTAAAAGTAAAACTTTTGTGGAGTGGAGTTTCTCTAACCACTGGTGCACAGTGATGTAATCCAAAATCAGAAGACGTTTTAGAGACAAAGATAATTTGGTACATTTTAATGGAAAATTACAGGAAAACTAAACTTGCCTTTTAAACAATACCGTCACAGACAGGAACTAACAAGGAAAAAAAAAAGGTAAATTTTGATTTCAGGTTGTCTTGATGCATCTCAGTTCTGGTTGAACTGTGATGCATCACAAAATGTATCACAGTTCTGGTTGAAAAGCACAGAGGAGAAATTATTAAATCTCATTTAAATTTGTCTAACACAAAAAGCAAAATCTAGTTGAAACAAAACACTGTACTGCCATAACAATCTTTCTTGTACACACTTAAAAATGATGGTTCTTCAAGGGTTCTTTAGTAAAGAAAATGGTTCTATACAGAACCATGAACATTCAAAATGAAACAGTTCTTCAGATGAAAAAAGTGCTGTAGATGGTTCAATATAGAACTAAAAAAGGGTGCTTCTATTGTTATGATGTCTGCCTGTCTGTTATAATGGAAGAGCCCTTTTTGGTACTATATAGAATCATTTTCAAAAAGGTTCTATGCAGAACCATCTACAGCACATTCTCCATCAATCTGAATAACTCTTTCATGATGCAAACATCCCTTTAATCATACAAAGGGTTCATTGCGTTTTCATAATTCTGTATAAAACAATTTTCTTTACTAAAGAACCCTTGAAGAACCGTCATTTTTAAGTGTGGACTTAACATGAGAAGGGAAACGTTTTTGACAATATTAAACCTACTTGATTGCAGATAATTGCATTCTGATTTGCTAGTCTTGTATAATTTTACATATTTCAAATAATTATTAGGAAGCCAGAAAGCTGTTTTTAAAAAAAGTGGTGACAAAGCTATATAAAATCTAGAATTGTAATAAAATTAATAACTAGGTGATCAAATCTTGTGGCATAAAACATGACAAATTACTGTAAATACACTATTACTGTTTATGATTTACAATTTATTGATGCCTTGTTACCCAAAGTACTTTAAACACTCAAAAATACATCTTGGTAACTAGTTTATAATATTAACATCTGAACTGTACAACTTCATACTGTGTATGAAAACATTATGAGAAATTTTGAACAGTAGCGCATGCTTGTAATAACAATTGTACAATATTGTTCTAACATGCACAAAGACCTCCAAAATTCATTCATTCACATAAAGCCATGGAATTAGCCATTCAAAGAGAATGGTGTAGAACAGGGAGTTCAAAGAGTGGTGGAGTTACATGTAATAGGTTACATATAGGGTTCTTTAATTTTCTTATTTTAAATATTCAAATTATAAATTTGGCACAATATGAATAACTACTTTTTGCATCATCAAATATCCAAACTGGTACATTTCATTGTGTGTCCATATGGATAGGTTCACATCCATCCAGAATGTATTATCTTCCAGTAATCGGTCAGAATTGTGAAATACTCTATACTGTCCTCTAGCTTGTTGTAAACAAATGCAAGCAGATGTAAGAGACAGAGAGCTATATAATAAACTAATGATCTCATACTTTTCTTATGTAAATATTTTTAAGTTAAACTTCAGATGAGATGAGTCAGACACAAAGTAGTTGAGACTTCTGTGAGACAATATTTTGATTAAAGTGAGAAAATTCAAGGGTTGTTTAAGGGGCTGAATTTCAAAAATAGGAGTAAATTGCTTAAATCTCACACTTATTTTGAATAAAACTTTACTATGTCTACGAGAGGTAAATGACATTAAGAAGATACAGAATAGTTCTTTTCTCTGGGTAGAAAGGAAAAAATGTTCTTATGTTTAATGCAAGTTAATGTAACAAGATTTTATTTCAAGCATATCATGTTCAAACAACATAAAGGGTAATTATGTGTATGTCTACTCTCCAAAATTACACCTTCATCTTTCTGTTTGCTGTCCCATCCATGTGTGTGGGCACAGCCTGACACTCTCACACACATGCATATTCGAACACATACTGCTGCTCCTCATCTAACAGATAGCTCTAACTAAACCACACTGCAGGAAGCAAAAAGAAACAAGGAAAACTTCAAAGTAGCTGGGGGTATAGTCCTTTTTCCTGACACTCATCATTTATGGGGCTCACTGCTTCCCTTATTACTCTAATTACTTCCAACTGCTTCAAGAGGTTTTGATGGAAGAGTAGAGAGAAGCGTGCTGGAAGCACCTGCTGCTCAGCCCTGCACAGGTGGCCTACAGAAACATGTGCATTCTCTTATGGATGCTTCTCGAACCACGCTACAGGAGCAACCTACACAAAAAACTGCAAAAAGGACTGTGTAAACTTTGTGTAAAAACTGTGTAAACAACTGAGATGCATACATTTAAGCAACTGAAATGGTTTCCAAAAAACAAATAAGACTATTTTAAAATCACCACCAACGGTGTTAAATAGCCTAAACTTGATTTAAAGTGGCTCTTAATGATAAATCATAAAAGTACAACTGACTGGTCACATTGTCTTGTTTCTATTTAGTATACATTATAGCTGATTGAAGACTGCAGAATATAGATTTTTAGACTGTGGAAAATCACTTCTGCAAAATGATAGGAAAGGTCCAGGCTGCATCAGTTCAGCAAAACTATGGCACCATCTACTGACCCTTGATAGAGCATCAGAAATCCAAAAGCTGCAAGGAAAAAATTCATATGAAAAATAAACAGTGTGACCAAGCAAAGAGATCACCAGAAAGTCAGACCACTATAAGCTTCGTTAAAGTGCTAAGTGACAGGAAAGCTCTTTTAAAGGGTAATTCTAACATTCCAAGTCATTTGTAAACAAAGTCATTTAGAGGTTGTTTGATACGAAATGCTTCATTCCACAGAAACTTCAAACAAAATTTAAAATTTCTCAAAGCACTGATAGGCACCAGATGTCCTATCAAGTGAGTCATTAATGCCTCTAAAAGCTACATCACAAAATTATTATACAAAATTACATGCCGGACAATAAAGCAAATAGTTAGATTTTAGATTTTTTTTCCAGAAAACAGATTTACCACTATTTTAACATATTAAATCTCAGAAAATTAAATATATATATATATATATATATATATATATATATATATATATATATATATATATTAAATCTTAGAAGACACGGGTAGGTTGACTAGTAATTTTGGATATAAAAAAATGGCTATATTTGCATTGTAGTCATTGCAATTTCTTGTTCCCATCACCATCATTGTACAGAAATCGAACTTGGTAAGAGTCAGTCTTAAGAAAGCAGTACTAACTGTCTTAGAAACCAAGATCATGACACAAAATTTCTTTAGTGGCAAAGAGAATCTGCCGCTCAACCCACTCAGGTCCAAACAAATATACTACAGTAATGTTTGATTCCCAAAAGAAAAAGCTGAAATTGTGAAATGAGTTTGAACACAGTATGCAACTTAGCCAATTAAGTGACTCAGTTCAATATATAATTTGTCTTACATTTAGACACGTTTGTTTAATGTCTTACATACTCACCAACTGAGGCAAAACTTTCTCAACATGCTCCAAATCCACACCGGTGCTGTCTTCATTCTCAGCCTGTTTCATCGTTCGCTGAGCTGCTTCTGAATACAGGGAATCAATGTAAGAATTTCAAGGGAATAAATGCAAAAAAAGAAGGATGCTGACAATGTTGAAATGTGTGTGTGAATGTATATGTCTGTCTGCCCTGCGAGGGACTAGTGACCTGTCCAGGGTGTATCCTGCCTTCCACTCAATGACTGCTAGGGTAGGCTCCAGCTCCCCCCACGACCAGAAGGATAAGCGGCTTAGAAGGTGTGTGTGTGTGTGAAGATGTTGGTGTAACGCATGACGATAGGTTAGTGTTATTAACACGTGTTTATAAGATCACTCCACTCAGGGGCCCCAGAGAAATCTCTTGTTTTCTCCTCTTTATTTCTCTTCAGTCAATTTTAAGAAAGCCATTTTTTCCAACACATTTCCACAAGATTGAAAGACTGTCAGCAACTTCTTGGATGATGTTAGCCAAGCTACCCAGACAGCATTCGGATGTCAGCCATGTCTTGCAGAAACACGGCAAAACAGCCTAGCAGTGTTGCGGGTAAACTATATGTGAGCCAAAAGTTGCCCACATTTAAAATTTAAAAAAGGGGGAAGCACATGCTACCCTTCACTACCTCGCCTGGTGGCAGCATGCAACAGTGGAAGTCCCACCCAACAGGCCTAGCTTTTGCACTAGTGGTTTGGAGTGGTGGGTCAGTTCTGTCAAGTCGTGGTTTGAAACTAGATGAGATGCGGCCCCCAAACGGGCAGAGTTCTGGCAACCGCATCTGAGCCTCTCCTGTGCCATCATTCCATGCGGTATGTGTTGTGTATGTTATGGGCCGTATCAAATTTGCTATTTGGGTACTTGTTAGAAAATATGATATAGCAACTTTTATAGACGCTTTATACGACAAATCCCTAAGGTAAAACATAGGCTGCTTATCATGTAAATTAGCTAGCTAGGTAGCCAAATGAACTGGCTTAACCTAAATCGTATCTTTATTTTTCAAACATGTAACTGTTAATAGTGAACATGACTGGCATAACTTACCTATAACGAAAATTTTCAACATTTCTGTCATGAGACTGGCGGCATCGTTACTGGCTGACGGAAAACAAGAAAAATCTACGTTAGCAAGGTGACAAAAGCGAAAATCAACCGTGTTCAGCAGCTATCTAAATTACTACAACGTCCCTCAGACAACGACAATTGAGTGGATTTTCATTCGGGCTGCAATTTTTATCAGACCTTTGGTTTTGTCGTCCTTGAAAAACAGCGTCAACACTTTGCTGATGGTCTCCTACAAATACATGCAGCGTTAAGGTTCTTGAATTTTTGGACAACTGACATCAAACTATTAGTCAGCTTCAGCGTCTCTGTTTAAACCTACCTTTTTGAAGATTATTTCGGGTTCTGTACCAGCCATTGTTTCAACATAAGCGCGCCGCTTCTGTCATTGGTTGCTTTACTTCTTCTCTCTAACGTACTACACCAGGTGAAGCTGGATCTGCTGCCCTCTTACTGTGACTGTACGCATTAGTGGAGAAAACACCGTTAATGCCGATTTGTCAGACATTTAAAGAAAGCATCAAAGACGCTGTGGCAAATCTTTGGTTAGTTTAAAAAAAAAAAACATACTACAATCAATACACTTCGTTCTCTTAGAGAAAAGCTACATGCATTTCACACGAAAGTTTACGAAGTGTCTAAAAAACACATGTTCACAAGCACCCAGATCTAAATCGGTCCGCTGGCTTATTAAGGTCGGCGCCTTGCTGACTGTTTGCCACTATTGGTCCACCTTCGGACCACCCAGATTATTGTCCTGCATATAAGCTCTAACTAGTTTATAATCTCCTCAAACAGGTTTTAAATGACATTTATTTTACAAAATAAACTAAGACAAATATTACAAATAACTGAGAGAAAAAAAGTGTAATATAAAATGATTTTATAGAAAATGTTGTTGCTGACACTGTGCTAGATTAGAATGATTTACTAATCTAATTTACAAAGTATAAGTAAAAAAGGGAGGAAGGAAAATAAGTAAACTGGAAAATGAAAATGAGTGATGATAAGAGGAATTTTTTCTAATACTCTGCTTAACCACCAGTGGGCTGCTGGGAAAATGCTGACCAAAACACCCGTGGATCACCAGCTTTGCCATCAGCAGGCCAACAGTGGCCCACAATCCTCTAGTTATCAGGGTACACACGTGACATTATGTGATTAATATGTCACATGACATGCTACACCATAAAATTACACAAGTTCCCTCTATGCACACTTAGTGTGGCTTTAGTGAGAACCGTACCGAAACAGATTCAGCAGCAGTCTCACGCAAAATTCATTGGGATACAGACTAGAACCAATCAAACTGGATGATTTTGTTTTGCAGCTGCCTACCCAACATAGAGGAACACATTCAGATGTGAATTAAAATATTTTTATTTATTAATTTAAGTTGTCATACATTTTAGGAGCTTAACCCACTTCATTACTCAAGAGCAAATATTAAATCAGGAACAGATATTTAAAGTTCTTGTTGCTCATGGAGAACTTGTAGCTTATTTATGAGAAACTTCTTATCTTCACCCTCCTAGAAAAACAGAAAAACATAAATACAATAAATACAAAAACCATTAGAAGAGATTCAGGAAAAAGAAAGTAGTGGATTGGAAGCTAAGTTTAATTTTCTACTTGCATTTTCAATTTGCTTCTGCAACAAGGCCATTATTCTTCTCTGACCATCTCCGACCTGAATGTGAATGTAAATAAGAAGTCTAGGGACAAAAATATATCATGGTCAAAACAGAATCAAAGCAACCAAGAAAAGAGAACCATACAGAATCATCTTTTATAGCCCCACACTCACAGGAAAAGTCCTGCAATGGTGAAGAGAAAGAGGGGATTCTCTAATACTGTGTATGCCCAGCTGAGCCAGGTCAGGCTGGGGTTGGATGTCTCTAGGCTCTTCCTCCACTCCTTCCCTGCGAGAAACATACTGGAGAGCATCCTGAAGGGCCCACAGATGGATGATGGCTCGAGTCTGAGAGAGCAGACAGTATCATGCAGAGAATTTTTAAGGTAAGTACAATGGTTCTGGTAGTACAGGATGAAGAAAATAATTAACAGCATACTTGTGTCTGATAATGCCTTAAATGTTTGATCACTGCAAGCACAATGTATTGTTCTGTAGTTAATACAGTCAGTAGTTAACATGCTGATGTCTGCTAATGTTTGGAAAATGCTGCAAACCAGGCTTTTAAGAAGGAGTGCCATCGAGGATGCATGTAAAAATGCCAAACAGCCACACACCACTACTTCCAGTTCAAATATTTACAACAAAATTAACGACTCTCCAGTAGGGGTTGGTTTGCATAGATAAAAAGTGTGAACTAACTTTTTTGTGTACCTGACAATGTGTACATTTGTTTGCACAATAAGTTATTTTGTGAGGAAACTGGTGTGTGCATAGCTTGTTTTCCCTGCACCAACACACAAGATTCAAACTTGAAGACCTTGATTCAATTGAATGAGGGATATAATGGCAAGGAAAATGCATCACTGTGTAACTCCCAGGACTGGAATTGAGAAACATTGATGACACATTATCGGGGAGTTGCACCAATACATTTCAAGTCTGTCTGTGGGAAGGAAATCAAAAGGGTCTTCATACCTCCACATTGTGTATGTGATGCCTGCAGCGGCTCCAAGGAATGAGGGGAAACAGAGGAGTGAGATGAAGAGAGTTGTCATCTGTGTGGCCCTCCATGCCTTCCTAGGTGCTTGGCAGTTCATCATCAAACTAGCCTGTTAAAATGATTGGACTAGTATGCAATAAAAATGACTGCAACAAATAAACATAACAAATAAACTACATATAAATGTCATTAATATAATAACATAATATATTATAACAAATATAATGTACTGATTTCCAAAGCACATTACCCTTTTTAAGTAAAACAAAAGTATCAGTTTCACAATCTGAAATGTGGGCAACAGTGGGGAAAACAGAACCCCAAACCTGGAAAAATATAAGAGAGAAAAGATATCAAACCAAAAGTTTGCAAAGGTTACACATGTTATATCTTTCATATAGGTAGTAACATTACCAAGCAAGCGTCTGGCCATAGATGAGCTCCAAAACATTTCGCGCAATGTCAAATGCGGGCTTTCTCTTTCTTCTTAATACTCCCTGGGTGAAAGCCCTGTGGAAGCAATAAGATTGAGAAGATAACCTTCTAGTAATAGCATTTCTAAAATGCTATAAGAATGACTTACCTCCAAAGAAAATCTCCAAAAATGGTGTGCAGCACACCAAATATTAGATCCATCAATAGGAAACGATAAAGATCCTGCCCAACAAACGTCTCCCAGCACTAATCACAAAAAAGGGAAACATTATTAGGAAATTTTGTCAGTTCTTAGTAAGTGTTCTGAATGAAAGCCTTACTGCAAATAAAGAACAAACAAGAAAAGTCAATGTGCCAATCACCATAATGTATCCATTTTTTAAATGCAAATTCATTACTTTTTAAAACTTTTTAAGTGTCACACTTTACCTCAAGCCTTGTTCCATTTTTTGGAGAAGCAATACTGCCCATCCATCGATAACAAAGAACACCAAGAGTACTTACTTTCAAAAACAAATTCCTACCAAAAAGAAGTACAGATTTACCAGTATATTTCAGTGGATGAGCTTATTGCATCACAACATTATTGCCATGGCCTGAAACATTGTAAGAAACTGCTGCTCTTCCAGATATTATTACAGGCCTCCATTCAGACTCTTTCTGTTCTACATATCTACATGTTTTATGTGTGTCATTTAAAGAGAAGAAACAGTGATGAACAAAAAACAAACAAACAAAAAAAACACATAAAATATAAAATGTGTCATAACTCCTGCACAGGCCATATTTTATGTTAAACAATAATTGTGGATTAGAATCTGCAAGAGTGTGTTCTCTGTAGAGGATGTATACTTATTTTTACTTAGAAAACAACAAAACAAAACAAACTTTTGCATGTGACTGTATGCGAGGTATGGCATTGCACATTGACAACACAGACAACATGCTTATGATATTTCAAATAGGTCATACTTGCTGTATTTTTTTTAATAAGACAAATATTAAGGAAAAAACATAGCAGACATTCTGTTCATGCTTGCTCATCACTATTTCACCAAATCTAAATGTTCATGCACTGACCTTATGATGGCAACATAAATGCAAAGGCTAGGTGAATCATAGCTCTCCATCCATGCCACCATGTTGAAGACACTAGGCATCAGATGATTTAGACCACATACTAGAAACGGCAGTGCCAACAAACTCTCATCTGGCCTTATATTATTTACCTATAGATCAAAACAATGAAACAGAGAGAAAAAAGGACATATGTTGCATTTTCAAACCTACATTAGCTTAATAGTTAAAGCATTAATGAATCAGTTTCACATCAGCTCTGTTCAGGCTCTCACAGAGAGCTACACTGCAAAGCAAATTTAACATTGTAAAAATGAATTGAACATTACACATATGTTTCCAGGCCTAATCAGCATCATACATCAGTCCAATTTTCACATTTCAGCCTGGCCTTTGGCATGGCATGTTATTAAACTGGGCTGCATTGTTGCAATTGTACATATTGTTAATGTTTTTTTGCTACATTTACACGTTAGAAAATCTTGGGATCTTTTAGATGAAATTGAGATTTGCGTATGGTTCAGTTTGTAAAATGGAGATGAAGGGTTAGCATGTTACTCTTAAAGGAATACTCCAACATTTTTTCACCCTAATCACCCTAATCAAAGGTGGAAAGTAACAGATTGTATTTAATCTCATCACATTACTTAAGTACACTTTTCCCAGGAACAGTACTTTTTTGAGTAGAGTTAAATCATACTTTTACTCATTTCCTTTTACTTTTAGTTACTTTCTAATAAAGTACTTTTACTTCTCTACTTACTTCTTTAACTTTTAATAATGTGACTGAGTAAAAAATAAATGTGTGCTGCAGCTCATGAACCAATTAGAAGAAATAAATTTAAATTTAAAACATTTATGTTTGAAAGCCAATGAGAACAGAGCAGCTCCCAGCTGCAAAAACACTTCAGCACTGATGAGTTTAGACATGCTTGTGTAGTGGAGAAAGAAAGAGGAGAATGTTACAAGCACACACAAGGAACAGAATTCATCCAAACAGTTTGGCAATAGTTCACAAAATGACATTTTAATTACGGTGAAATTTAACTCAAATGAAGTCATTTTAAGCTTTACTAGACTAGTTAAACTACAGCAGTTTGGGTGGTTATAACATACCTGTGAACTTAACCATGATAGAAATAGGTGGATAGTTGATGGAATCCTGTAGATTTTAGCAAAAAGTCTCTTGTCTAAAGGCCTTTTTGTTTTTATTGCTTCCACTTATGTCTTTAAAAATGGGGGTGGCAGATGGCTAATAGACATTGATCAATAAACTTAATAATAATATAAAACGATCAGAAACAGATGTGTGTAAATTAGTCCTGAGTTCTGTCCACTCTTTTTGTCCATTTTGACCAGCATGTCAAATCTCCTGTGATGCTACAATATTTACAGCACACTTACAGTCACTACAAAATTGTTCTCCTAGTTCTGACTTTTCAATGCAATTAAATTAATAAGCCCATCAAAAGAAAATTTAGGACATTTAATACACATTTCTAATTTCATTTTTGTAGCCTTTTTAAATGTCAGTGAGCAAAATCAACACTATGTGGCAAAGGAAAAAATAAGTCATGAGTAAACCATGAGACTTAACAGCTATGTTCTAAATAACATCTCTGAGGTCGCTGACAAGTGTGAAGTGAGAAGTGACAAGTGATAAGGGGTGTAAACAAGACACGACTGGTCGGCAGCTCTGTTAGCATGTTTTGCAATGTGATTTCTGCTGATACGCTTATCTGTTTTTCTGCTGCATGCACAAACATTTCTGAATTATAGGATGAATGCTAAAAAGTAACCTTTCACCTAATACATGATGACCACCCACTCCACAGTTGCCTTCATGTCTTCCTTACATTTTCTCTGTCTTCAGAGAAGACGTAGACAGTCAACACACAGCAGAAAATGCAGGTCAGAGAAATACCCCATGCGGTGAAGTGAAGAGCCATCCAGATCAGCCTGGTTGTCAATTTCCCTTTTGGATTTCCAGAGTGAAGCTCACAAAGCATCTCCTATCAAAAGAGAAACACTAACATTCGAAAAGGACAAAAAAATCACCTAAAAGGGCAGCAAAATATAAACTGCTGTTCTTGATACATGACACTACTATGTTGTGCTGAGAATGGTCCACCACTTAAATAATATCTTATCAGTGGTGTGGTCCTTTCCCTCCCATGAATGCTGTGGATGGGGGATTACAAATTGTGTGGCAACTGTTGGGCTACAGTAAGTAATAGTATACCTACAGTTACACTAATTGTTCTTTTGTATGTCTAACGAGTGTAGGTAAAGGATTCAATTCAGCATATTTCATAGTTACTAAAACTGCTTTTTTTAGAGATGCAAAAATCATTCATTTTACCACAGTAACATACACAATCCACATGCAGGACATTACACATTTTTATGGTGCTTTTTTTGCCAGAGCAACTTAAAATTTAATTATGTATCAGAAGCTGGCGATTGTTGCATTATGAGCCTTGCCCAAACACTCTTATTGGCATTTGTGCTTGCCCAAGCAGGAAGGCAGTAGTGTTTCCTACAATGCTATACCAAACCACTTGATGCTAATCATTTATACTGCAATTGATTGATACATTTGTTTTAATCATAGAACATTGTGTTACATTTGAAGAGCATTACACAAACCTTCTCTTCAGATTTTAAGTGACAATAGCAGCTTGACTATCACACCCTTGCATACTTCTCTTTTTTTTTTCTTAACCTCATCTCAGTTTCAAATGCTATTTAAATCTGCTGTCTCTGTGCATCTGTGTAGATGTCCTTTAGTCTTGCTTAGACCAAAACTCTCTCACCTTTAGTTGTGTGCAGAGGTTCTCTGCCTGCATTTGAACAGATGTCATTTTGCTAACTTTGAAATCCCAAGAGCTGAAGACCTTCAAAGCCATGTTGCCATGAGATTTAAACACGTGAAAACTCCCCCCTAATGTCCTGAACACACTGTTCAAGAAAAAAAAAATATATATATAATTTCAGTCATGGACAATCTTCTTTAAAAGCAGTTAAAACGTTTTTTAATCTGGGCAGACAAACAAACTAACCTGTAGACAAGCATTATGCAGGTGGCAAACAGACCTGTCCCAATAGTTAGTAAATATGCCAGGCGTATGTTGTATGCCTGTGCATTGCAAGGCTCAGTTTTGGTGCCAGAGCTGCAGCTCTTGTCCTCTGTATAGTTGTAGTAGCCATAAAACATTAAAGAGTTAGTAAGGATGCCCTAATGAAAAAAAAAAAAAAACATTATTAAACAAACTTTTCCAATTAAATGGTGCAGAGTGCTCAAATGCTTATAGGCCACGGCACACTGACACAACTTTCTCCAATATACACCAACAAAAACCCAAACCTTGGGTAAGTATGCTATACTTATGCTATAAGTATGCTATATATATGACTGCTGTGAGTCTCTACATGGCCCAACCCCGTGCACACTGGTTCATGCACATTGGTGGATTGTCAGTTCTTATTCTGGAGACTACAGGGCCAGCTGCCAACCATAGGCTATCTTGGCTCAGTGAAACTTACATGCAACTATTTACATATGTATATGTATATGTTTTGTATATGTATATGTTTTGTTGATTTTCTAAGTGAAAATAAGGTAACACATCGTCTACAGAGAACAGACTTCTTATGTTAAACTCAGCAAATAAATAAAAACTGAAATTTGCAGAAAAAATATGACCGGCGTTGTTCAAACTGTTGCATGCAACTGTAGATAATGACATAGCAGGCTACCCAAGCAAAAAATGCTCACACAAGCAATTGCAACAAGTGGCTACTGGCTAGCTAACTGGTTATCACTAATAAGCAACAATGTTCCAAAAGACCATGGTCTGTTTTATTTTATTGTTCATGATGTGTGAATACAGTTGAAATACTGCTGCTTAATGTTATCATGTGGTGCATTATCAGCATTTTGATTCATGAAACTTTTCGCAAAGTTCAGATGGCTTCAACTGTTGTGGCTGAGTTTCAAATAAGTTTCAAATTAGTTGCAGGAAACTCTTTATTATGTAATGCACATAAAAATCAGTGTTTCATGAAAGTTTGACCATATAAAGCTAGCCAACATCTTGGGGAATGTTGGTTCAGTATGCCATGGCTTTTAAAAGTTTGTTCTTACGGTGCCAGTAAAAATGTTGAGGCCCATGAAACTGATCTTGTTAGCACTGTGATGTGGGTGGTGGATTACTTCAGGCAGGACCAGGAAAAGGTTGATGATCAGGGAGAGGAAGACGTTATACAGCAGTAGAGTCCTGAGGAAGAGGAAATAAGAGAGTGCTCCAGTCCCAAAGCGGCCACTAACCTGCTTCAATGCCCCATGCCAAAGTTGCACAGAGGTCAGCAGGGAATGAACACCCTGTCGAGCGCCACGAAGGCTCTGTGAAACACATATACATACACACACATGTCCAAGAAAACAACACATGAATATAGTGTTTAAAAAAAGCCTTTCATGCTTGATCGACTACACAGTAATGTTAAACAGATACTTCACTAACAAATTCTAATGAACAAAAATGGTAATTCACACAACTGAGCATGATTTAATTTGCATAAGATTAACTGGCCTCTACTCTATAATGGTGAATTATTATGAGCTGCCAGTTTTTGTAGAAAGTATTTCTTGAGACTAACTGAGATTACTCAGATGCCTTTTCCAATAAAAACAAATTCACCTTTCCAAGGCGTACTTGAAAGTGACTATTTCTTGAAGTTTCCACTGAAAGAATTTGACCCCTTCTCTCACGACACACCAGTGCTCTGGAGAAAAATTTGGATTGCAAAGCAAAAACAGACATCATTACCTGACTGTATTTTAAGTCTCTAGAGGTTCTAAAATGTTGTTATCATACCTGAGTTCACTTTTCTCAGTCAGACTTATGGGCATCACACGCAGCTTACGCGCACACTCGTCAAGAGGCAAAGCCTGTAGGGTCCTCAGCAGATGCCTCGTCTGGGGCACTATGGCCCGCAAAAAAGCAAGATTGTACACATCCAGACACATGCACACATTAAAAGAGTAACATAATCTAACAATCAGACTTGCTCAGTATATATATCAAGGCCCTACATGATTGTTTGCAAAAACATGAGATAAAATATGAATAGGGCTGCACAATATTGGTTTTTGTTCATTATTCTGAAATTGGTCTATGCAGTAATAGAAGACTATTATCATTTTTTAATAATTAAAAAATATGTATATATTTAATATATATGATAATATATTTATTCATGTAATATGTGAGCATTTTCTGCTTAAAAAAACAATGCCACTTCATATTCATGTACTGACAGACTGTATGTAAACATATGTGTCCTAACCCTCATGAATGAGGCCTTTATGAGACTCCATGTCATTGTCTCTGTTGCTGGTCCCAGGGACCTGGGAGAAATCTTTCACAGAAGAGTGATCCCGCTGCGAGAGGACAGCTGCACTCCATCCTTATGACATGGAAAGAAGGCTTTGTAATCTGTTATGTTAAAGCCAAGCTTTAAAAAAGGGAAAAGAATGTGATATGAAGTTGCAAAATATGACATTGATCATTAGCTACCATTAATTCTTAATTATGTGTCGTAAGTTGTTGTAGAAAGTATGTTTTAAGATTAATTGAGATGATTTGGTTGGCTTACAATTAAAACACATTTTGTTAATAAATACTAAACAGTGGCCTAAGTGGATATTTTCTTTGGGTCTTTGTGCCATTATGTTGAAAGTGAGGAGAATTCAGCTTACAGTAACTGTAACAAAAACTACTGTAACAAAAACAGTACTGATATGGAATAATGAATGCCATCTTACCCACTGAGCGACTTGGCATGGATGACAGCACCCTTTGAGTGGCAGCAGACCACTTATTCCTGGTGAAAGCATTTGTCCGCTCAGCCTTATCTATGTGTGCTGGGCCAACAAATATGCAAAATCACAAGGTTTTATGTTTATATTTGCTGTGACCTAAAAAGTGATAGGTCAGAGCAAATATAAACATAGAGGAGTCCACTAACACAATCTATACATTCCAAGACACTTAAAAAATCATTTGCAAGGTTATTTAGACCTCCAAAAGTGTTTTTTTTCTCAGTGGCAGGTGTGTCCAAACTGTTTACCTTGGGGGGTCAAAGGTTAGTGTTAGTGATGGGCTGTGGGCCAAAAAGACAAAACAATATGCAAATAAAAAAAGGTAGGTAGGATTTAAATTGAGATTGTAAAATTGTATTTTATAACATTACAGAACATATTGTTACTAACATACAAAAATATTACTGATATTATTATAATAAAATCAATATTACTAACGATAAGGAAATTAAGAATTTGATCATTTATATATAGTAATATGTAATATTATTTAATAATATAACAATTATTATAACAAATAAAACAATTATCTCATTGTGTGATGAATGGGTTTAGAATAACTTTCTGGTGGGCCGAATCAAACTTTAGCCTGCATGACACTCTTTGAGCAGTTTTTCGCACATCTATTTATAAGATTGTATAGTGTTTACATTTACAGAATTGTACTCATACTTACTGCTCTTTCCCCCCATAAAGTCCATCTCAACTGTCTCAAAGTCTTCATCTGTATTGGAACTTGTTTCATGGCCATTGTCCTCTGAACATCTAGCGAGACAAGGTCAATTGTGTGCACACATGTACACAAAATCTTCATGCATCTTTTCATGTAAAAGGAAATACTCATCAAAGCAGATACTCTATAAATAACCATAACAGAAAAGGCAGGAAGCCAAGAGAAATGCAAGTTCTAGCAATAATACAGGTGACAAAATTCATGGGATCAATCACAAAAATGTATATATTTCACAGCAGTAAAAGGTAATCAATAGATGAAAACAGCAGCATGTACAAGCAGATCATAAACAAGGTATGTGAGTTTGCAAAAGCACTTCCCATTTTAGAGGTAGCTGGATAACAAGTCATAAACTGTGACAATGGTGGCTAAGAACAATATTGTTGAGAAATGTAAAGGCACAAAATACTTTAATGGTAATTCTGACGGTTATTGTTAGAGAAATTATTTTAGATCTTTTTAACTTACTGAGAATGCAGTTCTGTCTGGCAGACCACAGCATTGTTGACACTGCAAGCCATCCCAGCGAAGTGTGAGAAGTTCTCTGTGCCTCTTTGCTTTCTTAGGTTCATCCCCACCCCCACCTCATACACACACACATTCACACATTTCTATGTACAGTTCTGTGTTCAGTCATCTGAGAAGGAGTTTGACTGTTTCACATGGTGGAGAAGCTAAACAACCAATAACAGGATGCCAGCTAATATGTAACTCAATTTGTCTTTTTTCATTTTAGCTTGTTGAGATTTGGACTCATGATACAGCTTCAGTGGGGAAATTTGCAAATTGAAGTTAAAGCTGTTGGTTAAGGCTCTGATATTCCTCTACACTACATTTGAATTTAATTAAGTTATTCAGTCTATGGCACCTGGGTGGAATCTTCTGTAAGACTTCATCCCCATTTTTGGAGAGGGAATAACAATTAATCTACTTTATGTAACCTCCAACTGCCATTCTCCTAAACCACAATAGTTCAGGCAAAATAATGCTTTTTGAAATTATCTGTCCTTTCTGTCACTTACTTAAAGAGTAATTCTTTTTACATGGATTCCAAACAAACTAAAAAAAAACATCTAGAATTAAGCTGAAAAATCTTACAACAATCTTATAATGAGCAGTATTATATATCTTGACTACATTGACTGTTTTAGTTGGCAAATCATATTGTTTTGTATAATGCATAGCAGGGGTGTCCTGCATATTTTGTGGTTTTCTTGCTCAAACAGACTTGCTTCAACTCAGCATTTAGTTCTCATATGTAGGAGAGCCTGTAGCATGTTTAAAACATGTGGTAGAGCAGAAAAAAACTCTAGACTGTGCTGTGCAATGGCCCTCTGATTTTGGACACTGATGTTGTAGAGCCCTGTGCGCTAAAGTACTTCCTCTGTATCAATGTAGCAGTATACTGCCATCTTAAGGAATCTATCAGTGCTACACATTAAGGTGGGTGAAACATATCAATGTAACATTCAATATGTTCTTGCATGACTCCTGCAAATTTGGGCAATACAAACTTTCATAAAAACTATAGTGAAGTTATAGTTAATTATAGCAAGACAAGCGTTTGGCCTTCTTTAAAAATCATATTACATTTACACATTACATTTCTATTTCCTCTGTGCATATACAAGGTAATTATTAGTTACAGTCTTTGCACTAAAAGACAAAATGTGCTTGTAACTTTCAAATAGCTATTAACACAGTTAGTTAACACATTAACACAGAGCCATAGAAGCTGCATGAAGTGTCATTTTGTGACTATGGCTTTATATTTTCAGGCTCCATGCATAATTGTGGCTGTACATGCTTAAAGGAAGGTGATAAGTAAAATGTGCCGTGATGTGTGTATTAGAAAATGATGTATTCTGTTGTGTAATTTAGTCAGCCTTACGGAACATGTTTTGTCACCCAATAACTGTGAAGCCTTTTCTTCAGGCATTTGAAGGATCAAATATCCCCAAAAGAATTATTATTCACAATGGTACAGCAGGCGACAGAGTACATACTGAGCTGCAAGACTGTTGAAACGTAGGCACATAGTTATGTGGGGGTATGGGTGTGTGTGAATATTGTTGCCTTCCATCAGCCCTAGTAGCTCTCTGCAAAGTGGACTACACAGGGTATTCAGACATCATAAGGGAGATTCCAAACCATAAGGAGTAAAAGGGGAACTTCAAACTGTCTATTAGTATTCAGCAAGTTGATGGGATGTTTAACCCATCAGTTGCTGCGTGCAGTGTGCAAAATACTGGTTTTAGGAGGTCCCATGTTGGCTGGCTACTAGCATTGCTAACTTACTTGCCTTAGCGGCGCTCATGCTAGCTTCAGTGGTATCAAAGTGTATGGTTCAACACTTTTGAACCAAGAGTTTTGGAAAGGCTCTTGTCTGGTTTGGTACTGCATTCTTCCACACATTACTTGAGATCTTACACATCTTTTCTTCTGTCTTCGATTTGAGAAATAAGTAACAGTTCACTCTTTTCACTAAATTCTTGGAAATTGGGCAAGTTATCAGATTCACAGATATGCTTCGGCATACTGTAAAATTTTTAAGAGGTACTCTGAGCATAGTTATAGTTGCTAGGCTATGTAGGACCAACAGGGTCAACTAACTTGCTACAGCGCCACGCTGAGCCGCATCAGTGCTGCATATAATATTAAAGACAGAAGCTAAATAGGGATAATTCAGGATAAATAACGACCTTTACCTGAATTTGTATTTGAGTGTCTATTTTTCCCTCACGAATGGCATAATTTCATGATAAGTTTATTTTCAGAGACCCTCCCAGAATTTAGATTTTGAGACATTCAGGGGATCCAATAGATTATTTAGGTGGTCTTGGACCCTTAGGATCTCCTGTATTTTGCATCTTGATTGCATGACCCCTGATAATCATCTGGTGGTCAAATCAGCTGCCAGACCTGCAGGGAGCAGCAGAAGGGAGCAGAAGGAGGGAGTAGAGCAGTGCAGGCCCAAATGAAAGAGCACCTGAATGTAGTTTACATGTCACAACATCACAGTTTACTTATGTGTGTGAGTGCTATTAATTTTTAAGTAGCAATTTCTGCTGCGTAATTTCAACCATTCGATCCAAATTCTACAGACACAAAAATATCCTGATAACAAGAAAACGGTTCCCATTAAAAGTTAATACACACACACACACACACACACACACACACACACACACACAAGGTGTGTTGCAGGTCTATGGTCAGATAGTGACCAAAGCTGGCAAACTTCAGGAGAGTTAGAGAGTAGGCATGCTTCAGGTAATGTGATAACCAGCAAAGTCATCAACTTAGCTAGGAGCCTGTCAAAATGGCAAGTTAGGCTAACTAACACATGTCTATCAAAATATTCCACTGAATTAAAATCTTTTTAAACAGGTCACAGGTCATTTTATTACACAATAGTTCAGATTTTAACTGTAAGATTACTGTGCTTACATTTACAACTTTATGTAATTGTGCTGCTTTCAAGTGGTTGAGAAATGAAGCCACCAGTAAATCAAAACAAAGCCACGCTCCTGAGTGCCGCAACCGTCTAAGCGTTAGCCCTATCATCAGGAGATCGCGAGTTCGATCCCTGGTGATGCTACAGCCGTAGCCGGGAGTTGAAGAGAGCACAACGCTTCGCTCTCTCTGGGTGGGTAGGATGGCCCCTCCTTCTCCCCCATCACTTAACGCTAACGCTGTGCTAGTCAGCACAGGCGTCTGTTAGCTGACGTGACAGATCTGACGGTTGGCGCTTTCCTCCGAGCGCGTTCAGCTGTCCAATGACGTTCGAAAAGAGGCGGTGGCTGGCTTCACAGGTCTCGGAGGAAGCCTGTGTTAGCCTTCGCCCTCCTAGCGTTGATAGTATCGTGTGACTTGGGGGGTCCTAACTAGCGGGTGGAATTGGCGACGACTAAATTGGGTTAAAATCCAAAAAAAAAGAAACACAAAGTAATCACATGACACTGTAAAACGGGTACTAATTGTAATGGTGCAGCAATTTTTAAATTTGTACAATCAACTACAACAGCCTTTTTCGCTATTTATTTGCTATACAAATCAAATGTGACCAGTGTGGATGATCAAGTTTCTCCCTGGAGAAAACTGCCAACCAGTCTGCACTTTAAAATTGCAGTTGTTACTGTAACGTTAGGTTTTATCCAATTATCAAATTTCAGTTCGCATAGGTTTTCTTATGTTTACTCATGTAATGAAAAGTCAGTTATCCTGAAGGTAACTAATGTCAACAAAGCCAAATAACTTATTTTATTTACTTGCTAAATACAGCATCAACATTTGTGAAATTTTAGCAGAGGTAGTAAAAAACCTGTGTTGGTGTTTTCCATTAGGAAATGTGTTGCTAATGATCTTTATTAAGTTTACATGCTGTTGTCTCCATATTAACCTTATGATAAATGTATGTGATACACTATATGTCCAAAACAACATTACTGTGAAGATTTGATTGCATTCAGCCAAAAGAGCATTAGTGAGGTCAGGTACTGATGTTGAATGATCAGTTCTGGATTACAGAACTGTCTGGATTACAGATCCAGTTCTGGATTACAAACCTTATACAAATGCATTAGATATCGCTTCATCACTCCACAGAATGCAGTTTCACTGCTCCAGAGCACAATGCTGGAGGGCTTAATACCCCTCTAGCTCCCCTGTATCCTATGTGACTGCTCCAGAGCATCCCACGCTGTTGACAATGCTTTTCTATGCATTTTCTTATATCATAATTCTGTATTGTGTCTCTGAATTGTGTCAGATGAAATGTAAACTGTTCATTGTCTTATTTTTGTGCTTGAGGCAAAATATAGGTCCTAGCTATCATTGTTTTATTTCAAATATAATTAATTTAGCAAACAAACAGTTTCTCAAAAGTTGTACAGTACCACTAATAATGAGTCCTTTTCGAGATCTGTGTATTAATATAACATCACAAAACTATAAACAACAATGTATATGAAAATACCGAATGACATGATAATTGCAACTTTACCCCATTTACAAAGTAATGCACATTGTTTAGGAACTCATTTAAAGTAATATTATTATGTAATATGTTTTCCTCAACGTTGACAACAAATGCAAATAACAAAAAGCAAGTGTAGATCTAGACATATGGAAAACAGAGCACAAGGCAGCTATGTGCATGTGTGTGTTTCAGTATTTTAAGCTCTTTTCAGCTTCTTAATTTACAAATCTTTTTTGCTTATTTGACCTTTTTACTTCAGGCCTTCTATGTGTAAACAACATTAAACAAAACTACATATACAATGGAACAACTGGCATTGTCTTTTTTTCATTGCAGCACCAGATGTCTTCTTCAGGAGCTTAAATTAAGGCTCATCTCCCATTGCAACCTCCTCCACTACACATCTGTGTCTACTGGCAGACTCTGACAATGTATCTGTGACATCCCCGATTCCTGGGCCGATACAGCACCAGCCGTTATCACCATTGGGACAATCAGAAGGACCAGACTATGGGGAAAAATGCCACCCCACTGGCATTTCATCTGTTCAAAAATGGTTTCAGTAACACACCATGTCCTTGACTGCCTGTTGAATTGGGCTTTAACTGGCTCCCTGTATGGTGTGATGATGTGTTATTAGATTATCAGTGAAAGGATACCCTCCACCTCCCAATAAAACACAGTCTAGTTAGAGGCACTGTGTGTTGACAAATTGTACAGCATCACAGACCTACCTGTTTAATGTGCTTGCCCTGGGCATCCATAGAATACATCTATAAAGCTCACAGTGTGGTCACAGGTGGCTTGAAGCACAACAGAATAATAATAATAATAAAATGTTTTCTGTTAAAATAAAATAAATGTAATAATTCACAGGGCATTTTATCATGAATAGTCGAAATCTATCACTCACACCCCCCCCCCAACTTTCACTTCTTATTTTAATGGAAGTCCAATGATGTGGCCACAATGGTACAGAAGAAACCTTGTGATCTCTCTTGTTAAACAAAACCCAATTTGCCTCCGGCCATTAATGGTGGTGTTCATGCAACACCCTTAGGAAAGTATTTTTGGGGTTCATGATTTTGATGCTAATCCAGTCTCATATGACTGCCTTCACTGAAAAAAACTGTATAGCACTGGAACAGTTAGGTTACTTGTGTGTAGGCTCTGAGATTTCCACAATGAAAAAGACAATCTAGAACCAAGGTCAAAACAAGATTTTAACAGACAACAAACATTTAAATAAAAAGTAACAACAACTATCCCCCAAGAGAATAGTCACTTAATCTAAAGCGTGTTTCTTCAGGGAGACAATTACAATAGTTCAGAAATTTTAAAGCCTACTGATTTGAAAGAGAAATATTCTTTTTGTCAGGATTGACTGGACAGAGATGGGTGTTTCTTGTCTTTCAACTGTTTTGTTGCAAAATATGGTCTAAAACTCACTTTGAGAGGATCTGTAAAACAACTCATCTTCCCTATGTCTCATCCAAAAATATCTTCAAAAGTCCTTATTTACGCACACTTTTTCATTGCCTACTTGTCTCTACTGTAGGTCTGTTTGATACAAAATGCTGTAACAGACGAGTTTAAACATCTTCTTTTTGGTGATTTTTGTCCTCCTACTTTCTGTACTTTCTGTGATGTTGAGGTGTCAATTTGAGATAAAACCATTTATTTTTATCAGTCATTGCCAGTTGCTCCTAAGGTTAAAGAGATACATTACAAAATGATGTTTAACATCCATATCCAGTTAGTGAGCTTTTTCAGAAGACATTTAAATTAGAGACAGAGCCATGTGTTTCTTGTACTTTGGCTGTAGAGACAACTGCACGCTTGGTCTTTCAATGTGCTTATACCAGTCCATTTCAGAAAAACGAATAATGTGTCTATTTTTAAATGTCATGACATTTTTTGTAAACAAAATTTGGAGTTTATTATTGGATTATTGGATATAAATGTCATCATTCTTTTGAGTAAATATCATGTTCAGATACCATGTTCAGAATGAAAAAATGTAGACCCTGTTTTAATTTGTTTATTTGTGACTTAACTCTGTTCCTTCAAACTTTAACCATTATGAAGAAACCCAGCAAAAAAGACAAATATATATATATATATATATATATATATATATATATATATATATATATATATATATGTGCCCATGACAAAATGCCTAACTATGCTCCATTTCCCCCTCTTGCTCATTTTTCTTCCTTTTTCACTTATCTGTCTGTTTTTGCATTGTCTTGTGACCTTTCATTGTTAGTTGTAATGACAGTAGTTTCACTTCTTTCGTCCATTTTATTTAAAGTATTTCCTATTGACTAATTTCGCTTTTTTGCCCTGTACTTTTTTGTCAACTCAATTAAAGCAAAATGTAAAAAAAAGTTTAGAAATCTCTCTTTCAGGATTTTTAAAAATCAAAAAAAGACAACCTATTTTATGGGCTTACTGGTTATTATAGCAAGCCTACGTTTCTTCAATTAAAAGAGCAAACAACTTTGATGCCATTAAAGAGGTGACGGCTTAAGTGATTTTTGTAGTTTAGTTTACATATATGTTATGGAGTCAGGAGTGAACGGTACATTTTGAAACAGTACATATGGGCCCTTTCAGGCTTTCATGGGAGCAGAGTTCAAAATCTGTACAATTTTTTTTTATTTAACACTGATAATGTGTTTTCTTCACCCTTGACTGGATGCCTCAAGCATAACACACAAACATTTTTTTCAATATTCAGAGAAAAGTAATTTAACGTTACTGTTGAAAAACTGTATGAGCGTCGTATCGACAATTTCAAATAAATTAAAATAATCTAAAATAAATTAAGAATTTTTTTTTTATAGTTTTCGGAAACCATTTGGGAAGTTTGTACTGAAGCTAGCATTTAGTGACGTTGAATTAATGACGTGTACTTCCTGGAGGGGTGGTGCACGCTGCTTTCAGGAAACAAATGCAAAGGTAAACAGAAAAGTTTCAAGACAGAAAGCTGTGCTGTAGGACGTCTAACAGTTGTAAGAACTGCTACAAAATGGAAAGAAGTGCTTACGGCGCATCTCTCGCTGGTGGTTCTTTTGATTGCGAGAGCTTCATTAAGCAGCCTCAGACTATACTTCGAGTACTGAGCTGGGTAAGTGTTTCACAGATCAAAGCCTTTATTGGCCGGTTAGCAAACTTGCTAGCATTGTCATCCGCATTTCATAATGAAAAATTATACGTCTAGAAATTACAAACCTGCACTGGCACGGCGTTAAAACTGTTTTGCAGATACTATATCTGTAAGCAGTTAACTATCATCTAGCTAGCAGAATGTGAGTAGGTAGAAAGCCAGCTGCTAGCTGCAGGAGGTTACAAGGAACTGAAAGTTTTGAGCAGTCAAGCTTAAATGTAGCCTTAAAGTTAAATTAAGCTTAAAGTTATTAACTAAGCTGAACAAATTAAACTATTATTTCAGGGTATCACTATGATCTGGCTGCTGTAACTTAATACATTAAGCACGTACATTTCTGACCAAAGCAAGTCATTGTCGATTGATGACTCATCGGTCGCCTATTGAATATTGACTTTGGTGTAGATGGGCCTGCTTTAAGGACAGAGAAGCACGAGGTTTCCCAAAACTGGTCCTGGAGCAGTCCTGCGCGACATCTTCAGTATTTTCTTTTTTCCAAAAACGCCCCATCTGACTCAGCTCATCAACTTGGTACTAAATCTGTAATGAAATAAAAATAAAAGAGCATGGAGAAATATGCAGTGCGGAACTCTACTCTTCCAACAAAACTGGTTCTGTAAAATATGAACAAAAAGGTTTTTTGCCAGGTTTGGTGCTGTATAGAACCATTTTTAAAAGATTATTTAAAGAACAATATACAACAGGTTTTTCTATCCATTTAGGCATGAAAAAAACATTTATGCATTCAGATGGCTCATTGAGTTGTCATGGTTCCATATATAGTATATTTACTAAAAAACCATTAAGGCTGTGGGAGCAGGATTGGGAAACGGTGCAATAGTACTACTTGATCCTGTTTGCAGATTCAAATACTACAAACAAATATGTGTGTGTATATATATATATGTGTATATATGTGTGTATATATATATGTGTATATATGTCATTCACAAAAAGGGACTACTAAAAAGTTCCTCTTGTAGTTTTGCTTTTGCAGTTATTACTGAAACTAAAGGCACTGGCTGTGTGTCCATGAGTTTAGCTTTCAGATTTCTTCAGCAATTTATTGCTTACTGCTTACGTTTAAAGAGTATGATTGTGCATTAAGGGATAGATACACAACAGCTAAAACAAAGTAAACTGTTTAAGGTTAAGTAGAACATGTTTTAGTTCTAACTCACATTTTTTTACACTGTAGTTTCATGGTTTCCGCTAACTTGCCTAGTTTCCGTAGTTTGACTGTGAAATGTTTGTGTTACCAGTATGTTCCATTCTGTAGTGCTTACTCATTTTCTTTCTATCCCTTTTCTATTTCTCAGGTGTTTTCTATTGTGGTTTTTGCAACCATCACTGCAGAGGGTTTCATTAACCCGTATTTTCAATCAGAAACTAAATGCATATTTAACCAAAATGACAACGCCTGCAGTTATGGAAGTGCAGTAGGAATTCTAGCTTTCCTGGCATGTGTTGCCTTCACTATTTTGGATGCGTACTTTCCTCAAATCAGTAATGCCAAGGAGAGGAAATACATTGTCATCAGTGATCTTGTTTTTTCTGGTAAGAGAATCTTGTTGTTACCAATGCTAATATATTATTTTACAAGTGTATATTGCTGTTGTCGGAAGAAAAACATATTTCTCCAAAATGATAACTTTACAGGAGAAGGAAAACACATACTTTAATTTTAATGTAAGTCAACGGAACCAGAATTTTTTCAAGTCATTTTTGGGCCGCTTCTTTGGTCCATTCATCATGAAATTTACACACAATGTAAACAGCAACAGGCATTTTCAAATAATATCAAAAACTGAAAAACGGAAAAAAATTGAGATATTAGGTTTACTTCTGACAGCAGCGATATGTGTGCAAATCACATATTTGCCAGAAATTGGTATTATTCCAAAGTAGAATTTGTAGTTTCATTCTCTAAGGGCAACAGCAGTTAATCATACCTTACAACTTCCCCAATTCCTGTCCATGAGTCACAGCTCTTTTCTGTGCCCCTCCTGCTCTGTTATATTGACTTTGTCTTTTCCCTTTTTGCCAGGTGCATGGACGTTCTTGTGGTTTGTATGTTTTTGCTTCCTGGCCAATCAGTGGTCACATACCACTCAGACAGAGGGTATCTCAGGAGATGCTGCCCGAGCTGTGATAGCCTTTTCCTTCTTTTCCATTGTCAGCTGGGTGAGCACCGTATTACCCTGCAGTGCATGTGGTAGAACTTATGTGCTTGATAAACTGAAACAAACCTTATCTTTTTGTCCTACTAGGCTTTGCTTACCTTATTTGCCTATAGACGATGCCGCCAAGGCATAGATGAGGTCGGTCTGGGCTACACAGATCCTTCACATGACCAAAACACCCCATACCCGGCTTACCCCAGTGCTCCAGAAGGCTACCAGCAATCCCCTTTCAGTCACAATCCCACAGGCGATGGAAGCTACCAACCACCAGCATATTAAATGATAACACTTAGCTCACCAAGGCTGAGGAAACATTCAACACAAGTCAGCTTTGTCAGCATGCACTGACTATTGCACTCCATTGTTTATCTGGGCCTGTATGCATAAGAATAATAATCCAGATTTTTGTTTCTCATTTCCATTTGACTGTATTTATGAGCTTGTAAAAGGCCAAATTTGACCCTAGGTCACCACTTCTTCTGAAAGCTTTCATGAATATGGGCCTTAGTATCTTCATTCGTTTTATTAATAATTACGTGCCTGCTAGTGACAATCAGGATGATGTGTCTGGTGTGTTATCTTCACTGCTAAAATACTTAAGTGCAAAAAAAGGTTAGTAAGGAGTATCTTGCCTATTGCAAATGACTTAGATTCTTCATAGAATTCTACTGCATTCTAATGCAGTAATAGGCAAGGAAAGGCCTATATTTTAAAGATAAATTTGGCTTCATACTTATTACTGCAGTTTGTGCAGTCCTCCAGTATACACTGAAAAGAAGCAATAAAAAATATTGTATGCATTTTACATGGTTACATGATGAATTAAAAGAAAATAACATATGACAGCCAAATTATCTGATACTAACTTGACACCATGTTTAAGTACCAAATGTACTGCCAAACAGGTTTATGCACAAAATGTTCTGGTTGTCTTGTATTTATGGGATTTAGATATTTTGTAAATTGATAATAATATGGCAAATTGTTTTAAAAGAAAGTAGAAAGTACTGCCTGATGAACTACTGTAAAACAGTGCTTTAGTATCAGCTATAATGAATGTGCACTTGAAATGCCTTGTTTTTATATATTTTCTCTGTCTTGCGCCTGATTTGTTTTTAAGAAGAAAATGGTGATTGCTAAATGAATCTTACAGTTTTATTACAAAGTTGTGTTTATATTTACATAAATGTGTTTTATACCAGGAAGCCAAATTAAGGACTTCTACCTCTGATTATAAGAATTGTGCCTTAAAGTCTGAAGTACCAGTGCTGTATTTTTTGAATACCAATCATGGAAAGTAGATTTTTCCAAATTTTCAGAGCATGGGTTCTCTCTCTCTCTCTCTCTCTCTCTCTCTCTCTCTCTCTCTCTCTCTCTCTCTCTCTCTCTTAATGATTAATCAAGATTTTTATTAAAACCACTAACCATTAAAAGGGTAGTACTGCAGACAGCTTTTATGAGTAATGTATGTGTCTACATGAGCTTGGTTGCTTCTAAATAAAGACATTGAAGTGAATGGGGAATTTGAACAAGTTTTTAAAATTTCTGCATAATTAAATTGTTGAGATGCAGAAGTAGTTATTATATCCTTATTATACAAAAACCCCACTATGGTGGCAGGAACCAGACGTCTGAACCTCTAAAAGCTGCCTCACACAAAGTTATTAGCTGAAATGGTTATGAATACACTGCCCGATGCCTGAGGCATTGTTGCATTTTAGTAATGAGGTAAGCCTTTGGCCTAAACATATTCTTAAAATCAATACATATAAAAACTCAGAAGAGACATGCAGGTGTTATTTTGGATAGCAAATAAAATGGCTGTATTCGCTGTAGATATTGTGACCCCTGGTTCCTATCACCACCATTTTGAAGAAATTGAGTTGGTCAGTTTCTCTACAATTTCCCATCAAACCTCAGAATGACTCATGACAACGTTGAATCTGTACTGTTTGCTTAGAATCAGAAGCACTTTATTTCACCAAGTATGTTACACATACAAGGAATTTGACTTGGTGAATGCACATATGTGTATGACATGTATCATACTAAACAGACCAGCAAACAAAACAAGTATTTACTAAGCGAAAATCAAGGTTAAGGAATAAAGGAAATAAAGGAAAATGAATAATAAAGAGCCATGGAGAGGAGCTAAAGAGAGGTGTAAATATCTGTACATATGCAGATAAGAATATCTATACATATGCTGGTCTGATGACATATACTATAAAAACTTATATACAGAATATTACACAATGATATGAATATTTGCAGAAATTTAACAACTGTACATATGTACAAATAGCATTATGTTACAAAGGAGTTATTATAATACAGCAAGGAGGTTTGTTTGGTTTAAAGTATGACATGTCCACTGTGATTAATGAGTGCTACAGCTCTGGGGAAAAAGCTGTTAGCATGTCTGGTTATGCTGATTTTGATGGCCCTTAATCTTCTACTAGAAGAGAGTGGCTGGAAGAGGTGATGAGAGGGGTCAGCTGTAATTTTGCCAGTGTGCTTCATCACCCTGCTGTTGTTGTAGATGTCCTGAAACATTGGCAGGATACATCCTTTGGCTGTGAGGCTCACCACAGCTGGTTCCTTAAAGACATAGTCATTTGTGTAGAGACTGAAGAGAAATGGTGAGAGCACACAACCTTGTGGTACACCAGTACTGAGGGTCTGGAGGTCTGATATGTGTTTTCCTAGCTACACCTGCTGTCTCCTGTTAGTCAGGAAGTCCATGACTGGCAGATGGGATCTGGTACAGACAGCTGGGACAGAGATGCTGTAGCATGAAGTGCAGGGCCAAGTTAACTGAATTGTTGACAGATCTGTTAGCTCTGTATGCTAAGGGTTTGTAATGGTCTTCAGGTGGGCTAGGACCAGGTGTTTAGAGACCTTCATGACTACAGAGGTCAGAGCTACTGGCCTGTAGTGATCTAGTTCTGTAATGTTTTTGAGATGACTGGAATGATAGTAGATGTTTTAAAGCATGTAGGAACAAAGCAAAGTTCCAGTGATTTGTTGACGATGTTGGCAGGCTACATTTAAGGATCCTTGCTGCTGTTCTGATTATGTGCTGGAGTTTGGCTCATTCTTGTGAGGTGGAAGAGCCAAACAAGATGGTTATGAATGATGTGAGGACGGACTCAATGACTGCTGTGTAGAACTGGTTCATCAGGCTCTGCAGCAGGTTGAATTTCTTCAGCTGTCTTAGGAAGAACATTTGCTGTGCTCTCTGGGGCTCCTCCTTTGTTTTAATTTAAATATTTTAATTTGATCATTCACTTTGACCAGTCACTTACTGTCACACTAAAAACGGAACATCCTTTTTGTGGTTTGTTATTCAAACGGAGGCTGCGTGCCATGTGAGAGAGAAAATTTAAAAAGATATTCTGTTACTTCTAACTTTATCTCTGAGTTTGAAATGTAAATATAGCTGAAATCACATCACGGCTATTATCTTTACATTATGTGTATGGTGATTATTATGTGTATTGTGATTAAAAGTCTGAATTTTAGCAGTGTAGAACAACTGCTTGAAAATGGCTTGGAAGTGACTGCTGATTAACGTAGAAAAATATGTAAATGAGAACAGCTTTATATGGAATTTAGCTGTATTAAAATATAGTACATGTGAGCACAGAGAGTAAGAGAGAAGCAACCAAATGTAAAAGGCTGACACCATCTGAAACTAATGCTGCCTTTAAGTCGTGTCGGAAATATTGTATTTACGAGATGGATGCACATGAACGGCACCACAGTGTCGTATTTACTAGCGGGAAACTCGGATTTTTCAATGATCCCCGAGTTTCCGAGTTGAGGGCGTGTCAACAAAAAAACAATGACAACCGCTGATAAACTGGTCGTATTTCAGTTATTCATCAGCCACAACATTAACACTGAAGCCTGAAACCATCCACACATGGAAATACAGATATAATGTATATATATAGACTCTCTCAGACTTTTTTTTTATTTTTACCCGATTTTTCTCCCCAATTTAGTCGTCTCCAATTCCACCCGCTAGTTAGGACTCCCCCAATCACACGATGCTATCAACGCTAGGAGGGTGAAGGCTAACACAGGCTTCCTCCGAGACCTGTGAAGCCAGCCACCGCTTCTTTTCGAACTGCCGCTCACGCAACGTCACTGGACAGCCGAACGCGCTCGGAGGAAAGCGCCAACCGCCAGATCTGTCACGTCAGCAAACAGACGCCTGCGCTGACTAGCATCGCGCTGAGTGATGGGGGGAGAAGGAGGGGCCATCCTACCCACCCAGAGAGAGCGAGGTCAGTTGTGCTCTCTCGGACTCCCGGCTACAAGTAAACCAAAAACATTTTTTCCAATCAAAACCACTTGAAGACGTCCGAGGAGGACTTGAAGGCAACATAAGCAGAATGCACATACGTCATAGACAAGGCGCCATCTAGTGACATTTAGGGACTTTTCAAGCAGGCTTTAGCTACTTTCCTTTGAAAGTAGTTGGCAACACTAGTCGCCCAAATGGAGTAGGGTATTACTGCAGCTTTGGAGATGCCACGCTCTCAGGAGCTCTAAAAATGTGCATGCGTGTGCACTTAGTGCTAACGTATGTTATTTCACTTGCGTCTTCACCCAGAGAGTATAAGTATAAAATGTGTATTTTTCACTCTTGTGAATAAAATAAGCCTACCAGCAATAAGGGTTTTGGTCTATCTAGCACTTTATAATAGGTTATCATTCCTTATTAGTTTTCTACTAACTGAAATGTTCATAGCATCCTGTTAGCTACTTAGCTAACCAGTTGCTTTTGATTTAACCTAACGCTTCGATGTTAATGTTTGCCATACTACCTACAAAATGACATCACATTATATTTAGCAAAATAACGCAAAATAATATAATGTTTTTTACAAGTACTTTATTTCTTCATTTTATGAGCAAACCATGACAAAAGTAGCTTGACCTGCTAGCAAGCTATAGCTAACAGGCTTACTAGACCCCTTCAGAAATATCCTGTTATGGACTTTATGTTTAAATATTTACTTAAAGGATCATTTAATGTGTATCGTGTTGTCTCCAAGGCTGCAGCTGGGACTATTGGGTCCAGTTTTAGCATAACATTTACTTGGAATAAAATAAGCAGTGACTGCAGAGTTAACCCAGACAGGGGTGGAGCTTACCTTTTGAGTTTAAAAACTGGGTTGTATGCGTTCTTGCTAGGTAGATTATGTTGAACTGTAAGTCAAGTTAAATGCATGAAAAACCACAATGTTGCGGTACTCTTGTTTGCACATTGGTAACTACATCTTTTTATTCTCCTTTACTTCTTTTCTGTCATTTTTGCTTGCTTCTGAATTCTAAACTAGATGGGAAGGAAAATGTTTTTAGGTAATGTCCAAAATACTTCTGGCAGAGAGATCTAGGCAAAAACTGCTTGTGTTTAAAAACGTTCTTCATTTTTTTTTTTTTACATTTTAAAGTCAACTAGTGTAACTAGCAAATGTAAGGTGTAGGCAAGGGTAGGGTGCTATATCACACTGAAAGATCGCACACAAAAGGAATTGAATATGAGGAACGTGTTTTTTATCTTAGGAGGGTGTCACTGGTTATGCGCAAATGCTGCGCAGCAATGATAGTGGAAAACCGATTAGTATTTCAGCTTCTAGATTGCGGAAGTATTTACATCGATGCGTTAGGACATGATACCACGGTGAAACCGACATCAAAATACTAAAGCATCATCTACACCCTAACGGTCCGTTTTCACAGAGTAAGTTAGCGTTAGCTAGCTACATCAGCTACAGAGGGCTTTTAGACTGTTCACGGTAGACCGGCTCATTACGATAATGCGGAATGTTTTAATCTCGATTGTTCTTCCCAAGGCAGTCTCTGTTCCTGATTTGAAAGGCTTTGCTTGTGTGAGCCTAATCAATTGGTTTAGATTTGCATACTAGAATTATTCATGTGTGACTGATGTAACATTATATGACGAAAGTTAATAGAACAATTTAGTGTACATGAGGTAGATGACTGCACAAATGCTGCCTCAACATTACTCTCAGTTATCAGATGATGTACAAAGGCTCAATTCTGAATAGCATTCTGTTTGACATATACTACATATGATATTTTGCCAATGGCTCAAGCCCTCTGAACTCATTCCAGGTTGTCAGTGCTGGCATTGCAAGTAACAGGAAAGCATGCCTTTTCCATATGTGTGGTGCTTTTAAATTAATCTGGTAGTCACTACACCTTTTTAGTCTTTCATTCAATATCTAAACAGCACTCTGTTAAATGCAGATTTTTCCAGATACATTATAGTAGAATAATGTAAGGAGACTCAAAACAGCTGAAAAGTTAAAGAGTGCTCCCCTCACCAGGAAAAAAGACTGTGATTCCTCTTCCTCCATATTACTGTTGGAGAGGAAAAATGTGTACACAAATTTATTTGAATTTTTGTACATGGGTAACTATGCACAAAATGATCTAATATTAAAAATGAATGCAATAGTTTGAGAAGGGATTATCAACAGACAGCAGTTTCATTCTTCCCTTCTTAGTAAAAGGGTTGGGCTGTAGTGAAAGATTTTTGCCATTGCAGTGTCCTGCCTTACCTGTTCTTGCTATATCCTTCCTGTTCTGGCTGCCTTCGTATTGGCTGTCAAGCCACTCCTTAGTGTCAACAGTGTACTTTTATCAGAGAAGGTCCTGCTCTCAGTGCTCCTCAAAGAGGGACACGTAGTAGCAGGATATGTGACTGCTTCCTGTATGCGGTAGGAATAGAGATATTGGCAAAATTGTGGTAATATGTTAGGCTTGGTTATGGGGCTGTATTATTTTGTTTGTAGAATAGGATTTGTGCTAAATGCCTATTTTGATTTTAAATTACAGATTTTGTTCTTACTAACAAAATAAGTGGTGTTGTAATGCTGAATTATGATACTAATCAGTCACCTTGCTTTGAAGCCTAGGAAGGCAGTCCTGCATATTCCAAAAAAATACTATTAGAGATCCAGTGATCCTTATTATTTTTTAATATATTGCCTAATGCTGTCCTCTTCTGTCTCAGTAGGTCTGACTGCCTCTCATTCCTCCATGCCTGTTTCTCCAGGCTATGCCCGTCTGGACCATAATGAGCCCATGAACTCTTTGCGCATCTCAGTAGGAGGACTTCCAATGCTGGCCTCTATGACCAACCCCACAGACCCCCGCTTCCGCATCAAATGGAGAGCCATCATCCTTGTAGTGACTATAATAACTCTTGTCCTTCTCATCTACATGCACTTGGCACCTATTCGCTCACAGCCCAGTGGCAGATATGGCTGGAGGTTAAACCACCCAGAGGCTGTGGGTGAGGATCAGTACAATGACACTTACCCCCTTAGTCCTCCTGAACGCACCCTCCAGGGCACACGTTACCGCATTGGGGTCATTGCTGACTTGGACACACACTCAAGCATTGAGAATAAGCTGACCTGGTTCAGCTACATGCGGAAGGGCCACCTACTAGTGTCGGAAAGTGGGGACAAAGTGGCAGTAGAGTGGGACCCAGAAAAAGTGGTGCTGGAGAGCCATCTAGCAGAGAAAGGGCGAGGCATGGAGCTTTCAGAGTTGGTAGCTTATAATGGGAAGTTGTACAGCGTGGACGATCGTACAGGTGTGGTATACAACATAGATGGAAAAAAGGCAGTGCCTTGGGTTATACTGCCAGATGGTGATGGCTCTGTCTCTAAAGGTCAGTATCTGTCTAATTGTTGATACAGCAATTAAAGTGTATTTAAATTTGTATTGAACTTGATTTTTCATTGCTTCCCATCTTATGTTCTGGGTGAAATTTTTCTGCAAGTCCTTTGTAATTGTTTTGTATTTCCGTTGACTGCAGTTTAAGTGGTTAGATCCATGTCACACTGGTGAAGTGCCTTAATGTTCTCACTCTGTTAGGTTTTAAGGCAGAGTGGCTTGCTGTAAAGGACGACCACCTGTATGTGGGTGGTCTTGGAAAAGAGTGGACCACCACTACAGGAGAAGTGGTCAACAACAATCCTGAATGGGTGAAAGTGGTGGGCTTCCGCGGAGATGTGCAGCACCAGAACTGGGTTTCCAAGTACAACTCTCTCCGCAGTGCAGCTGGAATCAGTCCCCCAGGTGAAAGAGAATGGTCTTAAATATATTTTAGTCACTTCAGTTCCATGTACTGTATGGACTAACAGCTGATAATCAGCATGAATCAGCAGATAATTGCTTAAAAAATTATCGGCATCAGACAGATGTTTAAATTTGACCAACATTTGTTGTATTCCAGAGGGGCAGAATATGTAAGCAGTGCTGTGCTAAAATGTTTGCATTTTACTGAACTTGATACCCTATAGAAATAAATGTTTTATATCCCTGTAATGCTTTTCCAGGTAGCTGTTGTCCAGATATCTTCATTTTATAAATGTTTATGTATCGGCATTCGTATCAAGTGATTTTACATGAAAAATGTCCTATTGACCCACAATCTAATTAATTTAAAGTTTGCCGTATTATTTATTTATTTATTTTAAACATTATTAACAGAACGCTGTTTTGGATTACATTTAAGTTTCTTCTCAAAGTTGTATTCTAGTTTAAGTTTTTACCTTTTATTCAACACTCATTTTTGTTTAGCTTCAATTTCTGTTCAGGCAAATCAGCAACAGTAGTATAATTCTTATCATATTTTTGTAATTGCAGGCACACTACAAGTTCTCACACATTTGTGCCAAAAGAGGTTTTACTAGAATTAGTGCTTTTGAACTTAGTATATAGTAATTTGTTGTACTTTTAGAATATGGCATATCGCAAAATTGGGTGGACAATTTTAGCTTTACAAACACAGCAAAAGGGTATTTTTTTTCTCTGTTTGTACTTTTTTGACAAGTGGTCACCAGTTTTCTTCCTGGAGATCTGTTGTTCTGCAGAGTTCCATCTGCATCTTTCATGCTGCATTTTTGACTTTTTCTGCTTTGTCCCAGTGACAAAAAAGCTTTTCTCAAAAAGCTGTTCTTTCCCCATAAAATCTGAATTTGATCTCTGCTCAGATTCAGATCATAATAAACTACCTCCTTTCCTATTACAAAAAGAAATGTGGTATGAATTGAAGGTTTAGAATCTGCACTTTGGACAGAATTTGTCTCCACTTGTTTTAACGAACTACAAGTGAGAAATAATAATAAGGGTTAAATGCTCAGGTAAAAAGCTAGAGAAAGTTATTTTTGGGCAGTTATTCATCCATTTTTCACAAAGACTCTAAACTGTCTTTTTTCCCATGTGTTTATGTTTACCGTCATGCTCACCTAAGGCTATCTCATCCATGAGTCGGCTGCCTGGAGTGACACTCTCCAGCGCTGGTTTTTCCTGCCGCGTCGTGCTAGCACAGAGCGCTATGATGAAACGGAAGATGAACGGCGTGCCACGAACCTGATGCTTTGCTGCACTGCAGACTTCACAGATATTGTAGTAAGCCAAGTGGGACCCTTAAATCCCACCCATGGCTTCTCCTCTTTTAAGTTTATCCCAAACACGGATGACCAGATCATAGTTGCCCTGAAATCTGAAGAAGATGCTGGGAAGATAGCAACCTACATCTTGGCTTTCACTCTTGATGGCCGTATATTGCTTCCTGAAACAAAGATTGGTGATGTGAAATATGAAGGACTTGAGTTTATTTAGTGCCAAAAGAATGATCCAGAAAAATCAGTTTAGATGTTTCTTTTTACTTTTGTGTGATAGGGCCTTTGTGGACATTAAGCATGTGAGCTGAAGGTGTGACTTCAGTCTCACTCATGTCTTGTGAAAAGTGGGGTTGGGGTTATTTATTTAGAGACAGAATAACAAGGCACACTGTTCAACTTGTCAGTGAGCGTCTCCTCAGAGCATGTGCCAAGAACTCTGGAAGTTTATTGTGTTTATAGTTAGACTCTTCTCACTGCTTTTGTGGTCTCATGCTAGTAAAATACTGATTTGTGAAATGAATGTAATTGAGTGAAATGAACACAAAATGCAGTCAAAGTCTTGCACATACAGATACATGTACTTCTAAAGATGTTTGTACTGTACCAAATATGATTGTGCTGAATGTCATTTTTTACATGAAAGAATCTAAACACTTGTCTAATCTCCTATTTGGGTGTATGTGTGAGTGTCATTTTGTGTCACATAAAAAGACAAAAGCTTATATTCTACTCTTGTGCTGAAAGTACAGTGCTACGCAAAAGTCAGAAAACATCCTTCATTTGTTTTATTTTTTTTCTCTTGCCAATCAGTTCAATTTCTGTACATTTGAATTAACTGTATTTATTAAATCCATCCATCCATCTTCTAAGCCGCTTATCCTTCTGAGTCACACAGGGTGCTGGAGCCTATCTCACCGTTCATTGGGTGAAAGGCAGGAAACACCCTGGACGGGTCATTTATTGAATCACACAAACAAATTCATATAACTGTAAAATGAAACTGTGTATAACAATGCTAAATTATGTTTGTTTGAGGACCAGAACTGCCATATCACTCACTATCAAAAAGTTTTTTGTTTTTTTTTGTACAGAAGAAAATATACGTCAATATGAATGCTAAACAGTGAAAAACATACACTATATTCAAAAGTTTTGAATCGATATTTTCAATAATATAAAACCAATTTGGTTGCCGACAAGGGTATAAAATAATTCTAATGTGCTAGTCCTGTGCAACAGCTTTCAAATAAAGAAGAAATGTCAGATGTGTCCAGAATGATGAATGGATCTGAAGAGAATTCTAAAATGACTGAGAAATTCAGAGAAGTTAAATACAGAATGTGAGCTTTTATTTCTACATATTTTCTGAATATTGGAACCATATCATTGTATGTGTTTCTCAATTTATATAGTCTGGAACATGATTTTAGCTCCTTAATGTCAAGTGAGTGTAAATTGGGACAAATTATAGCTGGATTACGTCTCTGAGTTTAAAATGAAAATCTGAACTGACTAAAATGAAAAAAGCAAGCCCAATGCACTTTAAAAATGAGAATAAAAGAGAAAATACCACTTAGAACAATTGTAAAGAAAGACACTACAGGAGGAGTAAGCAATTTGCAATAAGCAGGTCATACAAGTAAGACCAGTTTTTTTCATCACTACCAGGAAGTCCCTCTGAAACCAATTCAAACTACTTGGGTGCTGCGTAATTTATAGAACTGCAGTGAAAGTTCTTTGTTCATCCAGCATCTATTAGCATAGAAGTTAAAGTTTGTTCTGTGTTATTCTTCCATTCTTCAGTTAAAATAAATTAAAACTCATAAGTCAAAAGTGTGACCAATCACAAAACCGTCTAGATTCTGTCACCAATGCAAATATTTAAATTAAACACAAACAAATTAGTACCTTGGTGTTAATGAGTGTAATTGAGTAAAAAGCAGTTTCTTATCCTCACAAACATATTTGAGTGTAAGTAAAAGTCATTCATTTGGAAATACTCATATAAGTACAAATTCATCAAGATTTTACTTAAATGCATAACTGAGTAAATGTAATTAGTTAGCAGTGCTAATTATCTATTACAATTCAGTTAGATTAGCAAAGTGAAGCAAATCATTTTGAAGTTCCTTAAACAATCTGGGGGTGGCGCTCTTTGCACAGCTGATACATGTAATGCAAAGCACAGTCTTGTCTTGTGGGCCAAAGCGCAATGTTCATGACGTGCCATGGGTGAAAAATAATGACACACACACACACACACACACATATATGTATATATAAAACATTACACAACATTTGGTTTCTAAAATACTTTAAATACAAAGCTTCAGTGGGGTGATGATCCAGGGAACTGTTTTGGAACAAAGTTTTATGGACAGATACGGTTAAAACAGTATAAACCTGTATCAAAATGATGGAAAACTGCAAAGAAGGAAAGCATTCTAAGGGTTTGGGATAGAGGTGCATTGGGAAGAATTTTATAACACAGTAAGACAACAGTGCACATTTTCCTGCAAACTTTACAAAGAGTTTAACAAAAGTGAAATGTTTTAAATTGGTCAAATTTTAAATTTTAAAATGTCATTTTCCTGACTTAAATCCCACTGAGCACACAGCAGTAACTAAATACTATATTGAATTTTCTTTAAATTTGTCACAAAAACTGATGTTCTATATATTAGAACAGGGGTGCACAATCCTCTACTACTCTGAGGTGGTTAGCTCCAACACTAATCTTACATAGCTGTTTTAAGCAATGAGGGTCTTCAGGGACATCTTAATATTAGAGCCAGGTGTGTTGGATCAGAACTCTCCAGAACAGTAGATCTCCAGAAGCAGAAGTGAGCATCCTGCTTTAGAATAATGGACATAGAGAATTTTAGTAGTTTTGGAAGATCATTCCTGTATTTAGTGCGAAATGGCTCAGTTTTAGATTTGAGAGTAGGCAAAGTTGTTAAAATATATATGAATATCTAAACTCATGATTTATTGTAATACTCAATAAAATATGAACCATGCAGTTTGGATAACATAAACACATCTTACACTGTCTATATTATACAGTATTATCTAAACATAGGCAACGCGGAATAGCACAGAAGGTTGGGACACTAGTAGCTGAGGTTACATCTGACGTTTAGCAAAATCTAAACAAGGCTACAAATGGAAATATTTCACAATGACGGTAATGATGAGCAGAGACCTGAGTAACAGAGGACAAGTAAACAAAACCAGTCTTCAGTCAGAGCATTCCATTCTTTATTCAGAGTATTCTGCATATAAACAGGTTTGGCACCAAAGTCAAAGCAGCAAATAAGAGTTACCGCAAAATTACACGCTAAGCAGCTGCATGGCACAATGTTTTAAATCAATCTAAAGTTAGAGTTTGTCCAGTACCCAACCCAAAATCAACATCATCTACAAAAAGGACATTTGTCTTGACAGAAATATGAATAAACATAAAAAACATCACAACATTATTGAACATCTTGCATAGCGAAAGTTGCAGAAGAAAGCCTTGTCTGGTTAACATGATCAATTTGCCATGAACGTCCTATTAATGACAAACTTGCACAGGAAAGCCTTAATTCAAATGTGCTTAAAATACAAACATACATAGAACTAGGTGTTTAAAAACACTGTTGAGACACTGAAAGAGAGTACATTTGCCTTTTCTTCAGAGCTAAACCTTTTGGGTTTTCAGGTACTTTTTCTTGTTATACAAAAGTTATACACCCCTGGGATGAGCTTGAGTAGTATTTGTGGTCCAGAACTAATTTTCCAACATCAGTATCTTGCTAATGCTCCTGTGGCTGAATCAATCCCTACAGCAATGTTCCAACATCTAGTGGAAAGCCTTCCAAGTAGAACTCTGTGTTAAAACTCGGTTTACGAAAAAAAACATTGGGAGAGCAAGTGGACATATAAACCAAAATATATATATATATATATATAGCATTTCAGTTGCTGATTGTCAGTTCGGTTCATTTTCCAGTGTACTTTTTGACAGACAGACTACCCCTCTTTTTTTTGTGCCAGTCGAGAAAACAGTTTCGACCATGTACAAGGCACAGTGGTACATCACAGACCCGGCAAATAATTGGCGTTTTATTGTGTTTATTCTCTAGCTTGCAGTTTGCACAGTACCTTCTTCCTGCTGAGGCTTTCATGCTAGGGTGAATGTCCATTCCAGCAGTGATGAATTCTGGCATACATGGTGCTCTCTCCTTTCCAGACATCATGTCTTCAGATTCTTGGGAATCATCTACATAATCCACCAGTGCCTCAATTAGTTCTTCCCTGAAACTCTTGTGGGTCATGGGTTTTTGTCCCTTCGACTTTGCAATTTCCTGATGAAGGAGGAAACTATTGACACATGCAATGTCTACAAAATGGTAAAAAAAAGCTTTGTACCATTTCATTGTCTTGTGGAGGGAATTATAAGTGTTAATTAAAGCATCAGAATAGCCGACACCAGCCATATGCTTATTGTAATCTTTGATAAGAGTTGGTACGGGCATGTGCTTCGCCACCCATGAGCCATCTTTCTCTTTAACATTTCTTTTGACTACGTCAGCTGAGCTGGCCTTGTGGATAGTACTACACATCCTCAATTCTCTGCTGTCTTTCCATTTCATGAACAAAAGTTCCTTGTCTCGAAACCAACGCACATCTCCTCTTTCAGAATTGCTGGAAAAATCATTTGCTTTGTTTTTTGGAAAGTCTTGAAGGGTCTGGCGAACTGCTCCACATGCCCCAATACTGGCTTTGTGCAAGTCCCTGAAAAGAGCAGGGCTTGTGTAAAAACTGTCCACATAGAGGTGGTATCCTGTGCCAAGTAAGTCAAGGGGAAGCAACTTCATAACAGAGTCATAACCGAGTCCTTTGCCTGACATAGATTTGCATTTGCCTTCATGCACAAAAAAATTCCATGTGTATCCATTTGAAGAATCAGCAAGTACAAATAATCTGTAACTACATTTTGTAGGCTTTTCCTGCATGTGCTTCCTGACTGAAATCTTAGCCCTAGATGACACCATTCTTTCATCAATAGAAAGATTCTTGTAAGGATGAAAATATGTCTGGCATGCTAAGATCATGTCATACAACAGAGGCTTGATCCTATGGAGGCGATCATGCCCAGATGTTCCCTTCTTGCGGTCATTGATTAAATCTTCATCTGGGTCACTTAAGTGGAGAAAGCCAGAGATGCTTTGAAACCGATTCCTACTCATAATTCTGCTTGGGAACCGGTGACTATAAAGGGACTTGGTGCACCAGTGGTCTCTAATGCTTTTGGCTTTTGAGAGACCCAAATAAATTACAAGGCCAATGAATTTAAACAAGTCATCAATGCCTACTGGTTGCCACTGATGCTTTATTCCTTGTTCTTTTTTCTTTGCAGCATATTTGTTGGTATGAAGCACAATTTTTCCAACAACATCCATGTCAAAGTATAGTTGAAAGAGTTCTAGAGGAGAGTATGGCCGTGTACAATCTACCTGCACTCCAGGTGTACGTTTTGGAATAAACTTGGGCAGTTCAGGTTCCTGATCTTTATCAGTTTCATTTTTCCAAATTTCTCTAAAGTTCTCTGGAGAAACAGCGGAAAAGCGCCTTTTCCTTTGCAAGCCCTTTGGAGTCGCCGAGGATGACGGGAAGAAAGAAGGCTTTGTTTTGGAGGGTGAAGAGGTAGACAACTTCTTCCCTGGGGAGGGTGAAAAAGCAGTAGGAGAAAGCCTCCAGTCCTCATCTTCTGACTCTTCACTGAGGACACAAAACAAAACACACAACAAATATGCACAGTATTGTAATAAAATGTTTGACAAGTTTGACTGCATTCATCTGCAGGGATTTAGCTCATGCAAGATCCCATCAAATGAGCTTCCTCACTGTGCTCAGTATTAGGGGTGGAGGAGAATACATATTGATGCAGTATGTTACTGCATTATTTTGCATTTAAACATAGCACAGATTCAAGAAAGCCCAAGTATCAATACTTATTGTTTTAATAAGAATATCTTCATTATTTAGCCCGTTATTATAATGGTGATTACCAAAATGCATTCAAAAATGCACACCACTTGGCAACAACCTAGGAACTATCTGCATTTCAGTATGTTGTAAACCTGTGGATATAGTTATGTACCTAAACCCAGGCCATGATAAAAGATGCAAGTTGACCTTTTTTGTGTTTAACAGTATTTTGGCAAACACCATGAAGTAGCATTATTTGAATTTCTAAACTAAAATGGGTGGATTCAACTGTTGATGTATCTATCAATCTACCACCCGATCAAATCTGTCCTATATTTTTTTACTGAGCTCAGTGCTCAGCTCTTTAGTCAGCGCTCTGTGTACAGCTATAACTGTGCCAGGGTACACTAACTGTTCTTTGCCAGCTGAGAGTGAAAATGTTGCTCCCCCCACTCCAATACTCTCATGGTCAGACATGGACTGTGCATCACCTCTGTTTCTTGAACTTTAACTGCTGTTTCTGGCAATAAACACTTAAATTAACAGAAGACATTCACACACAAGAAATCTTTGAGCTCCCTTGGCTATATCAATGGTGCTGATCCGCTCACCTTTTCCACTAATTTTCAGACTTCTCCCCTTATATCTGTTTCTCAACTTCCTTATTGTGATATTCTAAATAAACTCAGTTGCCCTTCGTGTTCATCAGTAATTTCTTTACTTCCCTCCACCCAGAGGCAGGTAACCTAAATCTACACTTGAGTAAAAGTATTGTTATTTCAATAGAAAAATTACTTCAATAAAAGCATCTTTCTAAAAAACAACTTGACAAATAAAAGGAGTACCAGGTCAAAAGTTAGTACATCCAGCATCTATCAGAATAGGAATGCTCTACTTCTCTTTATTTGGAATCCTTTTCTTAAATAAAATATACTGAAGCTCCAAATGGAGAAAAGTGAGAAATATCCCATCATTGTAATAAAGTGAGACTAAACACAAAACAGGAATTCATTAAAATGTTAATGAATAAAATCTTACTAACTAAAATTAATAAATAAATCCTTTTAAATACACTAGTAGAAATAAAAGTATTACAAATTAAAAACACTCGGGAAAGTACAAATTTACAACATCAGTGTCTTGCTGCATAAATACACATTTACAACATCAGTGTCTTGCTGCATAAATAAAGGACTTGTAATGAATAAATGAAAATTTAAGCTACGCAAATGCTTTCCTCTTTTCTGTGATGACGCAGTTGATTAAGGCCATTTAAAGCTGTCGAGGACGCATCAGGGCACTTTAGCATTCACACTATAAATGTTACATGGTCACATGCCTGCGGAGGTGGTTTGAATGATCAGATCACTAAGTGTCTTCAACACACATTGTATCCCTTTCACATCTGCACTTAGCACTGTCCACTTACGAAGGGATTACCCAAGATGCATGTTACTGCAAAGTGTGAATTTAGTTTATTTTTTGAAGGGTATTTTTACTTGATTATTTCACAGAAGTAACTATAAGTATACTGGAATGCTAGTTTAGATTACTCTACCAACCTCGGTCTCCACCTTTAGACCCTTCTCCCAACCCACTTCCACAAAAATCCAAAACACAATACTTACAATGTTTAGAAGTTTACAAAACAAACAGACAAACAAACAAACAAACACAAATAAAGCAGTATGATTTCATTTTTGTTGTTTGTAATTAGCCACCATGCCCCCTTAAACTGGAATGCTATACATAAAAACTAATGAATACAAGTAAACTGAACAATTAAAGTGCCGCAATTTGGACATCAGACCGCTAACTAGCTCTACTAGCACACAGTTAGCTAGCAACATGCAAACCCCATGTCTAGCTAGTTAAGTTTGCTATGTCTGTTCATTATGCGTAAGTGTCAACTTCACTTCTTACATAAAAACAAGAAAACTAGTCCTACCTTTCGCTTGAAAAAGACCCAGGAGAGACCACGTGAGTACTTGAAGCATCCACCGGGTGTGGGTGCTCAGCTGTTGGCTTCCCATCAACGAAATGCTACGTAAAGGAATAAATATCTGAGCAACTTCCAGCTAGTGACATGTAACCACTTTTAAATTATTTTGTAACTAAAACCTAAGATCTGTAACGTTAACGTTAGCTTAACAAATGGAACAAGAGCAGACATGCTGGCTTTTTTGTTTACTAACGCTAGCTAGGTTACATTCCAGTACTACGGACTGCGATGTTTCTATCACCCACTATTAACTCAAATATAAAAATATAAACCCAAATCAATAACAAATCAGCTAAAATAAGATAAAGTAACTTACCTTAGAGCAAATGTAGGTGTCTCTGGTGATGTTGGAAATATTCAACAGGGAATGAGGCCTGCCACAGAGTTTGATCCACAGCTTGCACTTTTCCACATTTTTGGGGGGTTTGGGAAAAGGTACAAAAAAAACACCATCTAGCCTCTCTGGGTATCTTGTGGTACTATCGCAAGTACCCCAGCAACAACGTTTTACCATATTTTTTGGATAATTTGGTACCGTTAGCTTTAAACGTATCCAGATGTTCACGACTACACAAGCATTGTATCCTATGGTTCGTCTTATAATATGGCGGCAAACAACAGCTGCGGCGATTGGATTGCAGTCAGCAAGTTTTAAGGGCGGGGCTTCGGGAAAGGAGGAGTGATACAAACAGAGCCTGTTTATGAGTTCTACAAGTTCTCTGATACAAACCAAACATCTCTATTAGCGCGGGAAGTTAGTTGTCTGGCTGTAGGCTGTAAGCAGAGCCTCGAAAACGTTCATTTCATTGATCCTCGGCGAGGAACTACGTTCTGTTTTGTATTTACATTTTACTGAAATATTTTTGTTAACGGGAAAATGTTGGCGATAAATTTTCTAAAAACTTAAAGTTTAAACAGAGCCGTTTTCTCTGGTTTAAGTCTGTACAGGCAAAATGCCAAGACAACTATACAGAGCTCTACTCAGAGCTCAGCTTTGAAACGTCGAGGGAAAGCAGGGCACTCAGATTAGTTGTCAGGGCGGGACAAACTGGAGCCTAAACATGCAAAACACAGAAAAAATACGACAAAACCCATTTTACTGATAAACTGTATTTATTATTTTTCTGATTTCAAAGAATTGCAAATAGGCTGCAGAGGGGTTGATATGAAGTGTTATAATGCCTATCGTTATATGTTTTACGTTTTAAAAACACGTGTGACCCTCTTTTCTGACGCTGCTTACCTTGTCTACCGCAGTGGCAGCAACAGGCACAGATAATGGACGCCTATGAATTTCCCGATAAACTGCTTCATTCTGTTCATATATTTTGTATATTTTGCATTCATTTGTGTGTACGCGAAGAGGAATGTCTTTGTAATTAGTTTATTATTCTTTGGCCGATTATGTAAACAACACTGAAAAGTGAAAATGGCACAAGTTGATTTATGAAGTGTTTTTGTAAATTAATTGATAATGCGCCAATTATTTGCCGGGTCTGTGATGTACCACTGTGCCTTGTACATGGTCGAAACTGTTTTCTCGACTGGCACAAAAAAAGAGGGGTAGTCTGTGCAGCTAGAATTTTGCCTTGCATTGTTTCATTGAAAGTATTTTGAAATTTAATTAAACCACTTAGGCTAACACATGAAATAATTCTAGGTTAAACTTACAAACCATTACATCAGAGAAACATAAAAAGAAGGGTATAACTTTTTTGAATGAAGTAATAGAAACTATAAAATCAAGTACTCTATTTTAGCTAGTAAAGAAAAGAAGTCACAGATACTGTATTTACCTGGTGTCCATTATTTGGCCACATGTTCTCATCAACATCACACCTAATGTCCTGTTTTGCTTATACACAATACAATACTTATATACAATTAATCACTTGCTTATTATGGTATGGGCCCATAATAGACTGTGCACAAAATAACTCCAGAAGTGACACTTCTTTATAGATGGTTAATCACCTGGGTAGGACTTCAGCTCAGATTTGAATAAATTTTAATTAATAAATAAGAAAAACTAACACAGAGGATGAAAGAGAAGATATTTGGAGACAGGATTGTATTTAACATGAACTACATGTCCAAAGTTGATAATTTTTTATTAGGAAAAAAATAAACTTACTTTTTAAACACAATTCAACTAGGGTAAAGTTTGGGAAACTGAAAATTGAGGCAGACTGAAATTAGTAAATTTACAGGCTTCGACCACTAAGACAGCTTATAAACTTAAACTTTTTATAAGTCTGTCCTAGATGAGTTTTCATATTGTTGACATAAGTGTATCTGTTAGTAAAATCAATCATTGCTTTTCTGAAAAAGCAATTATTGATTATTGTGAGCATTCTTAAAAATAAGGTTCCAAAATAGCTCTTGGCTTTGATGTTTATTATTAGGAAAAACATTTTATTTGTATGAAACCTTTACATTATGTGGAGGGTTTGTGAGCTTTAAAACTGTTCTTCACACGCATATTATTTATGAAAATGATTCTGTAAAGAATTATCCATTGAAAGGTTCTTTATAGAATCCAAATTCGTTCTTCTATGGCACTGTTTCAAAGAGCCTATTTCAGCACCTTTATTTTTAAGAGTGTGAGTTTAAAGGAGCAATATGTCTACCCAGCGTTTAAAATGGATGCTGCAGTCCAAATTCAAAATATTGGAGAAAGTTGTCTGCCAATGTTAAACTTTGACAATAGCAAGTGACAGCAAGTCCTACACTGTAAGTTGATCAGCTAATTTCTATGTTTGTAATGTTTTGATTGTTTGCAAACTATAAACCAGCTCATGTGGATTTTTTCAACCTCTGTACATTTAGCTATGTACGATAGTCAGCCAAAGTTAAGCCTGTTATCCTGAAAACAAAATCCCACTGCTCTGAAATACTCTTCTTCTGCCTTGAAGAAGCTGTAGTTTATTTTTTGCCAGCTTCTTGTTTAAATTTGCCCAAACTTAATGCTTACTTTTTCATGAGAAAGTTAGCGAACTCATCTTTCAAAAAGTCGCTAGTATTTTCTTGTGTTTTACTACATCATAGAGCTTTTTAGAGGGATACAGAGGCTTCTTAGGTCGGGATCCAGTTCGTTTGCTGGCTTCCATTGCTGCAGCATGCTAATGCTAATTTGCCTGCCAATGTGTTTCATATCTAGCAACCTCAGATGTTGAAACGGTATAGGGAAATCTGCGCTGAGTGGGATCACAGGCCCAGACACAAACGCAAATTGCAGACTTTCCGCTCCACATTGGAAATTTAAAAGGAAAACATACTGGCTGCAGCACTGTTGTCCGAGAAGTCAGTATTCAACTTAGTATGTTTCTTTAATCTCTGATGACATATCATGGTTATTTTATGATTTAGTACAGTAAATATATTACATATTACTCCTTTAAATCAAATATATTGTCCAGACTTTTGTTTTTCACTTTTCTGTTCCTTAATCATTTAAAAAGAGGGATTGGTTTTATAACATGACTCAACTTTCATAACATCATGAAGCTGTTTGATTTTGATCACTTTGTCTCTACAGTGCTTGTTAGTTTCATAAAATTACCATTACACAGGAATGGTGTCATTGCATCTGGAGGCCCCCCCAATAATTACTTTTGGCAAGCCATATAACACTGACAGAGGCAACATTTCGGAATTATAAACCTCTATGTCTGAGATGGAGCAACACTTACTCCCACTGTAACATTATTAACCAGAAAATAAATGAGTTTTCAATCCATCAGTCTAACAAAAATTATTGCTAAATGGTAAACAAAGTTTATTACGACTGTAGAGTAGATCTGGTTGAGAATGGAACACTTCTCTAAATAACTGCAATATGTCAAAATGAAACGGAAAAGTGTCACATTGCAATAAAATCAGTAATAAAGTACACAAAAAATACTTGCAGTGTCAAACTGAATATCAAACCTCAAGAAGTCTACATTATAACCTTGAAAGTAACTGATTGCTTCAAAAGAAGCTATGCTCCTGATATAACTAAAGGTTTGATCCCCATTGTCTGAACTGGTTCTTGATGACCCATCTCCTGTCCCATTCTGACTAATGGCTGTCGTTTACAGTCCAATTATTTCCTGATCTAATTGTCTAATCCAGATGTTTCCAGTCTTATCCACAAAGCATAAGTGTAGCTACAGTTTTTCATTCCAACAAAGCAGGAGCACACCTGATAAGTTGTTGTAGGCTGAGACTAACTGATTAAACAAGTTTAATCAGGTGAACTCCTGCTCATCTTAAATGCTAATTGCATTAGCCAAAATTTGCCTGGTAAAATTTCCATTAGATACTTCAGCATCATGAAAGTATCATTCTTTTGACTGGTTCTTTTTAATTAATTGATCAAAACAAGTCCAATTGAATGTAACTTTTTGTCTCTACACAATGTGTACTGAGGTATTATGGTATGGGTAATTTAGATACATTTTAATTGTAACTGTTCATAATATAACCTCATAAAACCATAACTTACAATGAAACATTAAGACCAAGCTTGAATTTTCTTGCATTTCTTTTTGTATTCAGTGTTGGTCTTTGCATATGTGTTTATGTAATGTGCATGCTCATCCACTTTGTGGCCTTGTACACATTGAGTTTGGATCCTGCCTCCTCTCAAATATTTTAACAGGTTTTTGTGAAGAGTCTCTATGCTGACAGTAATGTTGCTTGTAATGATATGATTTATGATTCTCACTATCATTGTTTAAGTTCAAATGGAATCAAATCTGGTAGCTTGTAAACAAAAATTTCAGTCTCAAACATTGCATTGTTAGGACTCTTTTTGTGAGCACACTGTGAGTGCGCTTTTCCCTTATATTCTCAAAATCATGTAATACACTATTTGTCTAATAAAATATTTATTTTTATTGAACAGAAATCTTTTTAAATTTAAATGTTTCAGTAGCATCCAAGTAGCAAGTCTAGTGGGAGCTGGGTAGACTTTCACAATGGAAAAAGGAAAAATACCACTGTAGTCTGCATGTGGAACAGAGTGAAAATTATAAAATGGCTGCATCCAAAACCACATACCACTGTACTAAATAGTATAGCAAAATAGTACTCTACCATTACTGGTGTATTTATTAGTAAAATATGCATTGTATAGTACAACTCCATTTCCAAAAAAGTTGGGACGCTGTGCAGAATGTAAATAAAAATAGAATGCAATGATATGCAAATCATGTGAACCATATTTTTAAAGGAAAATACTACAAAGACAACATATCAAATGTTGACATTGAGAAATTCTATTGTTTTTTGAAAAATATATGCCCATTTTGAATTTGATGCCAACAAGTTCCAAAAAAGTTGCGACAGGGTCATGCTTACCACAGTGTTTCATCACCTCTTTTTTTAACAACACTCTGTAAGCGTTTGGGAGACCAACTGCTGTAGTTTTGAAAGTAAAATGTTTTCCCATTCTTATTTGACATAGGATTTCAGCTGCTCAACAGTTTGGGGTCTCCCTTGTCGTATTTTTCATTTCATAATGCGCCAAGTGTTACCAGTGGGTGACAGTCTGGACTCCAGGCAGGTCTGTTCAGCACCCAGACTATTTTACTGCTGCTGTAATACGTGCAGAACGTGGTTTGGCATTATCT